AGAAGGGTTGTTAGCCCGGGGGAAAGGTGGAGAACGTTGCCTGTCGGAGATTGTGCTAGGGGAGTGCTTTTATACTCTGCATGTGGTATGAAATTACTTGAGCAATAAGTTGCGCAAAAGGTACCACAAATGGCTGTATCTCAAAAAGATTTTTAGTAGGCTGACAGTGTTGTGCACCGCCGTTTTTAGTATAGTCTTGATAATACAACTGGTTATTCATGTTAAATTATAATTTACTCTTGCAGTTCACTTCAAACCCGAATGGTGTAGGTTTATACGCGTCCCGCCCAGTCCAAGTCCAAAAACGATAATTCTGGGAAAGAACGGTTCTATATTTAATTAAGAAAGGGAATTCAGACAATGACCAAAACAATATTACACCTTCAAATTTCCAATTACTACAATAGGTTCTGTTGCCGGAAGAATAAGTGCTTCCAGTCCGTTACTGCTAGAGTGTCAAATCCAAATACGGCTGTAGCCATATTAAATATCAATTTTAAACAACATATGTATAGTTCAGAAGGAAACATAAAAACTTCAATATAAGTACAAGATATAGAAATAATAACAATGTACAATGATAAAATCTCAAATCTCAAAAAGAGTACCAAAATATCAAACAGAAGAGTCAGTCATATCATAACACAAATATATATACATGGAGAGATTTTCCAAAAACAAAGCCTTCAACATAGATTCTACAACTAAGGTTATGTTTATTCGGAATGGTTTTAACTTGGGGAAGGTTTGCCTTGTACCACTGCCAGTTGTTATGACCTTTTCCAAATTTGAGGGTCATGTTTACCAGATGTCTTGGTAGGGTAGGATGCACCCAGTTTTCATTCTTAGCGCTTTTGTGGGTAAAGGCCTGGGTATTGAGAATAGAGTGTGGGGTGAAAAATCTTCTTCAGCACTCAACAATAACTCTAGGTTTTGTTAGTTTTCCATTGTACCTAGCTCTTGGATAATTATTATGTGTGCATGATCAGATTTTAGTGTGACATGTTTTTAATGTTATCAGGCACATCACATAACATTAAAGGGGCTAACCTGTTCATCGTAGCTGGGAAATTCACAGGTAAGCTTGTGTGAACCCTACCTATTTTTTTATCTGAGATCCAAGACTTAGTCTGTTCACTCTTCTTAGTTAAAGATGGAGAGTGCTTTGGTCCCCTAGACGTGTTTTCCGAAAACAATTCAGTCTATTTTGCGTACGCTCGTGAAATAAATTTTGGGGATCAAGTCTTAAATTTATTAACTTTAGCTGGAATTGTGTTGTTTTTGGGACGTATTCAATCAATATAATGTTCGAACAGCCGGGATAAGGAACGCAGGTGTCGTTATATTTCTCGATGACAGACGGGGTTCGTACTTTGCAAGAAGATCTACAGTCCACAGGCTCATCAAGATCTACAGGTTGGGTTGTGTTTTTTTCTATTTTTATGACATTGAGCGTTGTCTCCAGTAGATTGTCTGCCATGACACAGTCATGCAATCTTATCGCCTCTTTTTTTATACGATGCTGTCAAGGCGTTATGTCCGGGGCAAACTTGTGCCTTAGTACAGGGTTAATGAGCTAATAATTTTGCTTAAATGGATAAATTGTTTGGTATCTTTACAGTACCTCTTATATCTACGAGTTTCACTGCTGGTATACTTGGTGAAGAGTTGTAACGCAGATTGCTGGCTAAAGATGACGAAATTTGTTGATAAGAGGTACAGAGATCATATAAAGAAGGTGCGACTCTTCCAATAACAGATTCATCAGGCTTAGGGTTTTAGAATCCAATTTGAAGGCTTTGTTTTTGGAAAATCCCTCCATGTATATATTTGCAGTATGTTGTTTCTGACACTTTCTGTTCAATATTTTGGTACTCTGTTTAATCCGATTTTGTGATGTTATTATTTGTATTTTGTTATTATTTCTACTTTTTGTACTTTTATTGGAGTTCCTATGTTTCCTACTGAACTGTATTATGTTGTTAAATTGATGCATAATTATGGCTACAGCCATATCGGATTTCATACCTTGGCGGGTAAAACGTGCATCTGAACTGGAGGGGTGCAGTTTGGATTGTAACGGAGGCATTCTTCCAGAAGTGGAAACACATCGTGTTATTCTGGACAGAAAAGAGTGTAATATTGTTTAGGTAATTATCTGTATTTCCTTTTTGACTAATAATAGAACTGTTTCTTACCCAGACAAATTGCTTTCTATTTGGATCAATTGGGCAAGGCGCGTATCTAAACTTCTAGAACTGTTTTTCCGAAATCGAAATCCACTGTGGTTTCTGCAGGGTTTACAGGTTTTGATCTTTTCGATGGTTTAGAAGTAGGTAATATTTCTCCTTTACTCGAACTATTGGTCATAATGGAAAACTGAACGCAGATATATAAGTGTTTAACTTGTGTATTAACTGAGTTAATACTAAAATCATAGGAGGTAGGATGAGATTTTATATATAAGATGTTCAGTTTTTGAGTGTAAAAATTACTGTCAGTTGATTGGTAGGTTCCGAACAATGTTTTCAGAATTTAAGATTGTCATCAAACTGTTGTGGGTTTATATTTAGCATTTCGGAATGCTAGTCAACGACTACTGTGTGTAAACTGGTCAACAACCTAGAAAGTTAGTTTCGCAAAGGCGAACCAGATAAATACATAATTCGAAAATAACAATATAATACCCTACAAATGATAAATTTCCGAAGAAAACCATACCAATTGAAAAAAATGTTACCACTTTCAGATTTTGAGCAGCTGTTGCGAAGCAAAGTGAAGAAAGCGAAGGAGCAAACTCCATATAGTGTGGCATGACTAAGCATTTATAGTCGGGAAAATAAGCTAGACATGTAGTACGTGACGTAAGCAGCACAAACTCAGGTAAAAACAACCAACGTATTATTATTATTATCATGTTAACAATGTCGGAAGATATGTGACTAATGATTCAAATAAAAAAGATCAGTCAGTTTGTCGAAAGGCTGGGACGAGCCATGTATGCTCACCATATTAGCACAAACACTGCAACTATGTATGTTGAAAGTTTCCTGCTCGACTGTCATGATTTTGTATTATGTGTAGCTTGAGCAGTAGATGTCGAAGTTCGCAAATGACTGACAAATATCAAGATGAAGTAGCAATCGGGAAATATAGTAGGTATAAAAACTCTTCCGGTAATGTGTTCAGGATGTCAACTTCGTGGCAGACTTGTGTGAATTCAAGCGCCTAAGAACTTTATCGATTTTCAGTTGTCCATATTCCACGAAGCTTAAGTTGGACTGAATAATGGTAGGCATCGTCTCTGCTCAATGAAGGTGGATGGCTGTTTTCTGCTTTATCGTATCGATTTCATTATGCTAATGATGTGAAAAAATTAGTCATGAAAAAATAAGGCGAAAATTCGTAAGGAGTCAGTCCAAAGTCGTGTCATTGACAATAAACTAAAACTTCAGTAACTCAAAAAGTAGAATAATTCATCCGCAAGATGTTGCGAACTAGATATAAAAATAAAGTGGTAAAAGATCCAGGATAATCGGTACTGTACGATCTAACTGCAATGAATGTTGTTGAGTACTATGCTCCAACCAACGATCACAATACATACGTTACAGATCAATTTTACGAGAGGCTACAGTCAATTGTTGGGAAGTGCCTAACAAAGAACTTCAGCATTCTGATGAGAGACCTAAATGGCAAACTTGGAATAGACAACACTGGATATGAAGACATCATAGGACTACTTGGACCGGGAATAAAGACGGAACTTGTGAGAGATTCGCAAACCTATGTGCCTTCAACATACTGGCCATCGGCGGCACCATATTTCCACACAAACGGAAACACAAAGCTACGTTGATTTCAACGGATCACACTACTTAAAACCGAATCGACCATATCTGCATCAATAAAGCGTTTAGAAGGACCATGGAGGAAGTGAGAACCAGGAGAGGAGCTGATATAGCCACTTGCTGGTCACCAAGATGAAACTGAAACCCAAGAAACACTTGACAGTGGGACAGATAACATCACAAACGTTTAGCACAGCCTTTCTTCGAGTAACTTACAAACTCAACGAATTCAAGATAGCCCCCAGCAATTGGTTCCAGGCTTTGCGATATCTACACAACTGAAGGGAAACTACCATGTAGAACAATCGGGAAGGGATCAAGGAGGGAATCACTTCGACTTGTCAGGAGGTCCTAGGTCACAAGAAGCACCAAAACAAGGAATGGATCTCCTTTGGTTCTTTGGAAAAGATTCAAGAAAGAAGGAAGAAGAAGGTAACTACCAATAAAAGACGAACAAGAGCAAAGAAATCCGAAGCACAATTTGAATATTTGGAAGTTAATAGGCTAGGAGCATCAAAGCCGACAAACCTAAATATGTGGAAGGTCTAGCAGTGACGGTGGAAAGGATGTCAGAGAACGCAACACGAGAAAGTTTTGACGCAACAAAGAAGCTAGCTGGAAAATATCGTAAACCAGAACTACCAGAGAAAAGCAAGAAGGGTAAAGTAATCACCAATACTGTAGATGTGAGGGCGCAGACTGGCAACGTAAGGGCAGTATTTCTACAATTTAAGAGCATCTCGAACTTGAAGCAACTGTCGACCAACACCGAAATCCGAATTTTTAATAAGATAGTTCTACGTACAGGGTGGAAACTTGGAGAACAACTAGAGCCGTCATCCGGAAGATACAAGTATTAATTAACAGTTTTGCCCCACTTACATAAGAAGTAATAGTGTTTACTTTCCCAGCTAACTTTGAACGTACACAAAGTGCAGCGACGATATCAGTTCATGGACTCGAGTTCAAACTACATGAGTAGTTAAGATTTAGAATCCACTAACGAATGCTGTAGTTCAAGAAAGCTCCTTGGCGTCTTACGAGAAAGAACTTATTACAGGTTGAGTGACCTGTCAGTGTCATCCTGGAAAACCCAAAGGTCATTGTTTATCCAGGTCGGAATGTAACTAATAGAGCTTACGAGGTTAATTCATATGTAATCAACTTCTAGGTCATCGTGATTTACAACTAGGTTTCCTGATCGAAGATACTAGTAAGTTACTTTAAGTAAGAATAACATTTTTAAAAACGCTTTTGATATTAAGTTGATGCTAACAATATATTCTTGTCGCCCCTATTGAAACTTGATGACTAGTTGCAAAGATGAAAAACGTGGCTTCGAAGAAGATTTTCTATTTGACGTAATGACTTTTTCCGGCTGTAAAGTCATATTTAGAGGTGATTGAAAGTGAGCCTTTGTGTCGAGGCTGGCTGCCATGGCTTACCCGAACGTTAGAGCCAGTCTCTCTAACCTTGTAGATGATCTTGAACTATTATTCTCGTGATTATCTATCCCTAAACGTATTCTATTTAGTAGATATGTAATTTTGTTTTTTTTACAAATTGACAATCCTGTGACAGATTAAGTGACCCAATGGTTTCCTATAATACATCCTCACTCTTGTTAATAGTGAAGGTGGGAATTAATTTTCTTAAAGACTGTACAGATAAAAGAAAATTATCTAAAACCAATTAGAAAGACTTCGTCTAGACCCTGTCGTGAAGTTTGTTAAATTCCAATATCTTATTTGCAAACTAGTATAAACGGTCAGTCAATCAGTTACAATGTAGAACTTCGTACGTAAGTACGTCAGTTCAAGTTTCCATACCACATAAGCACAGAAAGGCAATTGTCAATTATCATCCCATAGTAGTAGAGGTAGTAACAGTACTAGAAGTAATCGGAGAGATTAGGGTTCGAAGATGTTATTCAGAAGTATGATTCAGAGAGGTAAATTTAGAAAAAGAAAGAGGTAATGAGGAATTCATTAGGTTAGAATTTCATAGAACACAAAGAGTGGATGCACCTGCGTCATTGCAAATTGTTTTTAGCCATGTCATTCAAGGTCTCTAACCATCGATTATTATCTTCTCGCGGACCCCGACCAGGTGGTAGTCGACACCTACCGACATGATTCAGTCCACTTGTCAATGACTTCATGGATTTGTGCCATGTTTTGGTTCGGCTGCCCCTAGCTTTCTTCCGACCTATTCCTATTTCGCACAACATAGCTCGACGAGGCAGTCGGTAGTTAGGCATACGTAACATATGTCCCAACCACCTCAACTGATGAGGTTTCAATATTTCATCTATCGACCTGCCAACCTTACCTAAAACTCGTTTCCCTAACAACAGCATTGCTAACTCGGTTATCCCACGATACACGAGCAATGATTCTGAGACACCTATGATCGAAAACCAGTAACCTAAGAATATCTTCTACTCTGACTGGCCATGTTTCACATCCATAAAGTAGGACGGAGTGAATTAATGCGCAGTACACTCGTCCTTTAGTCAGCAAACGGATATCTCGTCTTCGCTATAAGTGACGCAACTTGGCAAAAGCCAATCAAACTTTCTGTATCCGTGCTGAGATTTCGTCACAAACCAGGTCATCAGCACTGATCAGACTCCCAAAATAAGGGAAGCGGTCTACACGTTCGACTTCTTCACTCCCTATCACTAGTTCAGGTGCCGATGAAACTCAATCTTGAAGCAACATTTTGCATTTCAAGAGGGGAAACGGCATTCCGAACATGCTTGTATTGTTGCTCAAGGTGTTCAGAAGACTGCATTTTTTTCAGCGTCTTCACCGAATAGAACTATGTCATCGGCATATTCTAAGTCAACCAATTAATCTCTTGGTAGGTCTTCCTCTGAAAATTCAGACGAAGATGATGTCATATCTAGGAGCATGTCTATGACAAAATTGAACAAGGATGGGGATAGCGGACTACGCTGAAGGACACTACTTGAAGTAGAGAATTCAGATGAAAGTTCTCTATAAGCTCTCACTTGACCAGTGGTGTTCGAGTAGGGAGCATGCATAAGGTTAATGTACTTCCTTGGCATACCTTTCAATGACAGACACTGCCACAGAACCTCACGATCCACTGAGTCGGATGCCGCCTTAAAGTCCAGGAAGACAACTATTGCCGGACGCCTGTATGTGTGTCTGTGTTCCGGAGCCTGTCGTAGAGTGAAAATGTGGTCTATACAGCCACGTCCAGGTCTGAAACCAGCCTGGTTTTCTCTAGTCCGCTCTTCATGAGCTTTCGTTTAGCGCCGGAGTATAGGAAGGATACTAAATTCCTATTTAATATCTAAAATCATTTTTAGCGGGAATAATTTAAGTATTAGCTTGCTGACATAAATCAGGTCTAGGTTTAACAAGTTCTGGTTTCATCTTATAGGAAAACGACTTATTCAGTTACTACAAATCCTGCTGGTCCTTAATCTTAAAATCTTTATAGAAGAAGTAGCGAAACCAGTTAGATTACTTATCATCTGTATACGGACAAGATATTCAACTTTTGTCAGTTTTTGGAACAGTAGGCTATAAATTAAATCTTTGTAACTGTTACGATTAATGATTTAAATGTGACGCTTTTATAGCTATAATTGTGCTAATGTGCTAATGTGGTATGGCAACATGAACTGATGTACTTACGTACGAAGTTCTACGTTGCATCTGACTGACTGACTGACTGACTGTCTGAGTAGTATAAGAGGTTATGGTTCTAAAGGTGAAAGCAAATACATTTCTCTATTATTAACTCTTTGTAGATTTAAAGTCTCATGATCGCTTTTGAAAATCTAGCATATATCCTTTTTTTTCGCTATTTTATTTGGCTTAGAGATGGAACTCATTTCATTCAAGTTTTCCTTAGGATCGATTGATTACCTAGAGATTCTGTAATCCATAAAGAAAGTACAGACAATATTCTTATTTGAGGCAATCTCAACCTGACTTCAAGCTATTCAAACACTGTGAGTGACTGTACAAGGATGTCTAGGATGTGTTTCTCAACCCTCAAATGTAAACAACTTGTTTTAGAACTAGTTTTTATCCATGTCTAATTCAAAATTAACGAGAAAAACACTTGGTTGGACTGATTGGCACATTAAATCTGGGAATTTCGTCGACCACTATAGGTTTGTAGTTAAAAAGATTACAATACCGATTTATGTAGTCCATATGGCGGCTTTGTAAATGTATTTTAAAGAGTGGTATCTATTTATCTCATGAAGTAACACTTTTATACCAAATCATACTTTATCTGTGACTACAACTACCTTTGTATAGAAGAGAAGTTGCATTAGATGTGCTAATGTTATCAATAAAATATCATGTAAATGGAGCGAATCGAGTGGAATTTTCGAACCCTTACCCAACATAATTAGGCTGTATTTTACGCAAACTATCACCACCTACTTTGATGTATATTGTGAGCTGGGTTAGCATTAAGTTCAATGTATAAGTTACGGTTAGTCCTTTACATAGCACCAGTCTAAATAACTAACGTATATTCATCTAATTTATGTTGGTTACCAGGGTATCGTACCTGAAATGACTTTAATCATGAACCACTTCTAAAATCACTTCAATTCTACGATCCAAACTTACAAAATTTGTTCTGAAACGGCAAGTGCCCCTAAATAGTACAATTAATTATTCATTAATGTCGTATAATGGGCTAATCACTTCGTAACTAATTCAAAACACTTGAAAATGGTGTCATATATTTTTTTGGCTTTTTTTTAAGTGTTGTAAATTAATATTATCAATTTTCTCATTTTCAGATTGTTGCCAAGACTATGAGTATGATGAGCTCGAGTATTGCTTACAATCAATATGATTGTGGAACACAAGCTCAAAGTACTGAAGTCGTTAGTAGTCAATTTCAAGGATTCAATCCTGTCAATGAGTGCCGAGACACAAGTTATGTTTTAAACTCATGTAATTCATCATATACTATAAAAACTAGCTTATCAGATCCTAAAGAGCTTCAAAAAATTTGTTGTAACATGTTTACTACTCCTAAATTCTGTGAGTGGTTAAAACATGAATGGTTATATTCAAGCATAGACAAGTAGGATGTGTTTTTATTATATTAACTTATATTTTCATTAGAGAAATATTTTTAAGGGTCAATGACTTCCAGCTGATATTACGAGAACATTTTCCTACTTTAAAATCACGAAAATTAACTCGAGCTCATTGGTCAACTATTCGACGTATCATAGGAAGACCACGTCGTTTTAGTGCAACATTCCTCGCTGAAGAACGACATTCTGTACAAGTAAAACGTAGAAATATACAATATATTCAACATATTATTTTAACAAGTTCTCTTGGTCCAATGGCATCTGAACATTTAGATAATCTTCTATTATGCTTACCACCAACAATTCGAATTCCTCTTAGATTACCAGTTGGTATTAGAGTATGTGTTTGGTGAGTATATATACATATATTTATTTAAATAATAATGATCTTAATCTATTTAGCCTTCATACTCCTATGCAAGGTTTATATCTTGGTTTAATACAAAATTCATGTCCTGGTGAAGGAAATTACACTGTTTGGATTGATGAATTAATTATTTCAAATGATTACATGGAAATGAAATCATCTAATCATTATGGTTGTCAAATTGTACCAGAAGAAGATGTTTTCCCTTTACCAAATCAATCATTACCGCCATGTTTAAGTCTTTTAGAAATTCGTAATTGTTTTAAAGAAAATATACTTGGTAGTAATGATGTGACAGTGTACTCATCATCGGAATTCAATACTACTAATTCTATAAATATCAATAATAAAATGCTGCTTGAATCATCTAATCATCATCATCATCATCATCATCATGATTTACATGGTATTGTTCGTAAGTTTTCATTTTTTTTTTTCCTGAAATAAACTTTTAAGAATCATTATCATCACCTACTACTACTACTACTGCTGTTGCTGCTGTTGCTGCTGCGGCTACTAGTGGACCTTTATTAAGTGAAAATATGTATGATGATGATAATCATGATGATCGTGATGATACAGATTTGCCTTTACAACAAATGAATAATTCACAAGTATCATCTGCTGATGATCTTTTAATTCAACCGGTGAAATTTAATATTAGTAATCATCATCAACATCAACATCCTCATCATCCTGATCATCCTGCTGCTGTTCCTGTTCCTGTACCTGCTCATGTTCATGTTTCTCCTCTTCTACCGCCGCCGTCTTTTATTACATCACCATGTTCAGAGCAACCATGTTCACAGATTATGTCCACTGATTATGAAGCTTATAATAAATTTCTTATTGATATTGTAAGTTATTTATTTTGATTGTTTTGTTTAAGGTTTTTCGATTTTATTATTGAATCATTTGAATTATTATTGTTAATGATTGATTAGTGTCAAATTTAATGATACTGTGGTGTGTGCTACTTATAAGTAGTATATGACGCGAGTGTAAACGTCATGTCTGGCAGCAGAAGATGGGGGAAGATCAAGAAAGGTAGAGTTAGAACACAATGGAATTTCTATGAAACGCATGAATAATAGTGAAATGTCAGACAATGGATTGATGATGATGGATTGAAGATTTGCAAATTAACGGTGGTTACGATATGGTTTTCCTATTTTACTGAGCAACTCTGTAATTTTCGTTAAATACAATTCGGTTGCCCTCACCTGTGTTCTCCTTCACTACAGTACCATTTAGAGAAGTTTTAGTTTTTTACTTCGTTTTTGTCAATCATTTTCAGTGGCGCAGGTGCATCAATTCATTGTGTTCCCTCCAAATTCCAGTCTTTACAATTCCTCATAACTTTCATCTTTCTCCTTTTTAAATTCATTTCATAGGGATATACTTCTTGAATAATTTCTTCGATTCCTAATCATTTTGATTATCTCGAATACTTTACTAACTCAACTGCTATGGGATTTTTTAATCGACCATTCGATTTCTGTGTCCTAATCTGGTATGGCTACTTGAACAGATGTACGTACTTCCGAGGACAAAAATGGAATGAAACCAACAGGTGTGGAGGTAGGAAAAGTATTAGCAGTAATCGAGAAGATTAGAGATCGAAGATATCATTCGAGAAGTGTATCCCAGAGGAATCAAAATAAACAAAAGAGAGGTGAAAAACGGTCATGATGAATTCAGAAAGTTAGAATTTGAGAGATGACAAAGAATAGATGTATCTGAGCCATCGCAAACGATTTTGAGCCGTTTCATTTAAGGCATTTAACCATCGGTTAATATCGTCTCGCTGACCCTAACCAGGTAGTCGACACCTACCAACATGGCTCACTCCAGTTGTCAGTGACTTCATGAAATTTTTCCATGTTTCCGTTTGGCCACCCCCCTTCTTAGCAAATTCATTGATTACTCACTGGTCTCAGGATTTACTAGGAGTGCTTTGAAGACACCTATAATCGAAAGCTAATAGCCTACGAATATCCTCTACCTTTACATGTTTTGCTTCTCAACCATAAAGTAGGAGCGAACTGCTGTGCAGTAAACCCGTCCTTTGCCTGCTAGATGGGTATCTCACCCATGCCACGTTGGCAAAAGCAAGTCGAGCTTCTGTATCCGTCAGACGCCAGACTTATCAGGACTGATGAGACTACCAAGATAAGTGAATAGAACGAAACTCCACGAAAATTACCCATCTAAGCTACAAATTTTATCCACCACCACTTGAAGAATCAATTCTGATACAGTTCGCCATAAGCTCCACATCGACCAGCGGTGTTCGACTATAAAGCTTGTATATGGTTAATATACTTTTCTGGTACTCCTTTCAATGACAAGCACTACCATAGAACCCCACGATCAACAGAGTCAAACGCCGACTTAAGTTCGAAAAATACCACTATTGTGGGATATCTGAACGTGTTTCTATGTTCTAGGACCTGACTTAGTGTTACTATGTTAGCCTATACAGTCGGTCAGAACGCAGAACCTCACACGTAAGTACATTAGTTCAGGTTGCCATACCACATCAGCACAGAGACGCAACTGTCAGTTCAAATCCAAGATTGATAGCGATAGTAGAAGTATTAGCAGTAATGGAGAAGATTGGGGATCGAAGATATGATTCGAGAAGTATAATCCAGTGAGATATCTTTAGAAAGATAAAGATAAAGATGATGAGGAATTCAGAATATTAGACTTTGAGAGAACACAAAGAGTGAATACACCTGCGCCATTGCAAACGGTTTTGAGCCATGTCATTCAAAGTCTCTAACCATCGATTATTATCATCTCGCGGACCCCAACCAGGTAGTCGACACCGAACGACATGACTCAGTCCACTCGTCAATGACTTGATGGATTTGTGCCATGCTTTGGTTTGGCTACTCGTAGCTTTCTTCGGACCTATTCCTACACCACAAAACATAGCTCGTCGAGGTAGTCGGTGGTTAGGCATACACAACACGTCCCAACCACCTCAACTGATGAGGTCACATTACTTCATCTGTTGACCTGCCATCCTTACCTAGCACCCGATTCCTAATAACAGCGTTACTCACTCGGGTGACCCACGGTATACGAGCAATGCTTCGAAGACACCTATGATCGAAAACCAGTAACCTACGAATATCTTCTACTCTCACTGGACATGCTTCACAGCCATAAAGTAAGACGAAGCGAACCACTGCTCTAAATATGCCATTATTATATTAATGTAACTTTAATGTGTATTATTTTTTATTTATCTTTTTCTGTATATATATTTTTCTATGCTTTTATTTTTTTCTTGTTTCTAAAGATTAAACTTTGCAAAATTTTGGAAAGAAAATATTCATCTATTGAAACATTGAAACAATTGAATGATACCGCTGAATTAGAAGTAAATTGTTATTTTCAATGTTAAATTAATCATTTGAAATTATTATTTATTATCACTATTATTATGATGATTGTTTATTTTATTTTTTTTTGTTTAAAGCTTTCAGTTAATCAAAATAATATTACAATACAATTTCAACATACTTATGCAATACTTATATTGAATATTGATAAAATTAATCAAGAATTAAAACATTATATGAATCAAGTACTTTCTTATGTGTCAACGGTAAGTTTGTTTGAATTCTAATATTTTCTTTTTTTTTTAGTCAAATAATTATGTTTTTATCATTTGATTTCGACCAATTTGGTCTCGTGTGCTGTTACGGATATGAGGGCGATTGTCACTTCCCGGCTGCCCACACAGTGGAAGGTTGTTTCTTGAGGGACCTGAAAAGGAAGATAGATTAGTGTTGGTCTTGGAGACCTGAGTGCGTGGCCGCAGAGTCCAAGGGACAATTGCTTGAGGCCGGTCACGCACGGCCTTTTTATGAAGGGTTTTTTGAATATTAGCTCCGCTCTTAAAAGCCCTTAGTGGGCACCCTTATCGACGGAGACGGGATTCCGTGAGGTAGGGTGAGGTGTGACATTTTTAGGGTCGAGCTTTTCTAACCCATCCTTGCTTGTGAGAAGGCAGCATCGCTGCAGATGCTGGTTGTCCGAGGGAAACACCATACTGCTGTCACACCCCTCCATCACAGTCAGCAGTACGACTTCGCCCTCAGACCTTGGGTAGCTGCTTTTAGTCTCATCGTTCTCCAATCGACCTGCCTGGCATGGTAGGACCTGCAGGAACGTATGTTCCAGACAGTATAGCTCGGTTGGGTGATCACGATAGGCAAGCCCGACCACCACGTCAAGGTAGCAGCTACGGTCGGGACAACATCAACAAAAGATGCTTCAGATAAAAATAATAGTTGGATAATTACTTGTCTTTAAAATTGCGCAAATTGTCCGAGGGAAACACCTTACTGCTGTCACACACGATAGGCAAGCCCGACCACTACGTCAAGGTAGCAGCTACGGTCGGTTAGGCATGTGCTGCGTATGCCGAACCACCGCCTGCCTCGCCGAGCTTTGTTTTGTAGTGTAGGAATAGGTTGGAAGAAAGCTAGGGGAGGCCAAACCAAAACATGCAGAAATCCATGAAGTCATTGACGAGTGGACTCGACCATGTCGGTAGTTGTCGACTACCTGGTTGGGGTCCGCGAGATGATAATAATCGATGGTTAGAGACCTTGAATGACATGGCTCAAAATCGCTGGCAATGGCGCCGGTGCATTTATTCTTTGTGTTCTCTCAAATCCTAATCTTCTGGATTCTTCAACCCCTCTAGTCTTAACTTTCTAAACTTTTCTCACTGAACCATATTTCTTGAATATCTTATAATCCTAACCTCTCGGATTACTGCTAATACCCTTACTACCTCTTCTACTATTGGATTTGAATTGACAATTATATCTCTGTGCTGATGTGGTATGGCAACATGAACTGATGTACTTACGTACGAAGTTCTACGTTGCATCTGACTGAATGTTTTTATCATTAAATTTTGATGATTTTATAATTCTCTGTTAGTAGAACCCAGCTATACCTACCTATTGCGCTTAGTAGTCTCGGACACGAATCCATTCGACAAGTCCCCAAATTAGAACACGATTGAACAGGAAAGAGAATATATTCCAAATAGCAAGGTTAAATGAAAGTAAGAAGCCGAAGCGAAGGCGAATTAGGAACAATGTTAGTATCTCTATAGTTTTTTGCATTAGAAGCTTCTAGAGTGTTCTCCAAGTATCGACTAGCGCTGATTGGATAAGAGTTAGCCAATCAGCGTGCAGCTAACACAATCATGCTTTAATCCCATCTATGTCCGGCTAACAGATGATATATTTTTAAATAGAAAAGATAATTAATTCTTAAACTATTTAGTTTGAAATTAACTATTTTTCCTGTTTATGAAAAGCACAAATCCATGAAGTCACTGACAAGTGGACTGAACCATATTGGTAGGTGTTGACTACCTGGTTGGGGGTAGCGAGACGATACTAACCGATGGTTAGAGACTTTAAATAATAACAGCTCAAAATTGTTTGTATTGGCTCGGATGAATCCGATATTTGTTTTCTTTCAGATTCTAATCTTCTCAATTCCTCATGGCAACATGAACTGATGTACACATGCGTACGAAGTTCTACGCTGTAATCAATAAAAACTTATAAACTGTCCAATCGGATTTTTACACTCAAAAATATTGTTAACAACACAGGTTTACGATTGTTTTAAAGTAGAAAACTGATCAATATTATCGATTCTCTGTTATATTTAATTAACAAAGAATAACTGAGATTTATAAAGAGTTTGTGAATATTGTTGAGTTCTTTAGAACCACGAAATGATTATATGTTAGACAAGTATTAAGAAGCACTAGAAAGCATTGAACAGATATATCGTCCTAGTGTTATGCTCCTCAGTACTGGACATTTATAACTCCGCCTACATTACGGATCATTGTGGAACAATCAATTGAATGGAACTCACCACTCTACATCAACTTCATCGACTACGAGAAAGCATTCGATAGCGTGGATAGGAAAACACTGTGGAGGCCTCTTCGACACTACGGTGTGCCTGAGAAAATACTTAACATCATCCGGAACTCTTATGATGGATTAAACTGCAAAATCGCACACAGAGGACAGCTGACAGACTCTTTCGAGGTGAAGACCGGTGTCAGGCAAGGTTGCTTACTCTCACACTTTCTCTTTCTCCTGGTCATCGACTGGATTATGAAGACGTCGACATCTGGAGGGAAGCACGGTATCAACTAGACAGTTAAGACGCAGCTGGACGATCTGAACTTCGCAGATCACCTGGCTCTTCTATCTCACACGCAACAACAAATGCAAGAGAAGTTGACCAGTGTAGCAGGAGCCTCTGCAGCAGTAGGTCTCAACATACATAAAGGAAAAAGCGAAATTCTCCGATGCAACACAACATGCACTAACCAAATCACTCTTGATGGAGGTGCGTTGGAGGACGTTAACACCTTTACATATCTGGGCAGCATCATCGACGAGAAAGGTGGATCCGATGCAGATGTGAGGGCACGGATTGGCAAAGCAAGGGCTGCATTTCTACAGCTGACAATTTCTGGGACTCCAAACAACTTTCAATCAAAATCAAAATCAGGATTTTCAATACAAATGTCAAGACAGTTCTACTGTATGGAGCGGAAACATGGAGAATTACGAAAGCCATCATCCAGAAGATACGAGTATTTATGAACAGTTGTCTTCGTAAAATACTCCGGATTCGTTAGCCAGACACGATCAGCAACAACGTACTGTGGGAGAGGACAAACCAGATTGCAGTGGAGGAGGAAATAAGGCAGAGGTGGTGGAAGTGGATAGGACACACATTACGAAAAGCATCCCACTGCGTCACAAGACAAGCCTTCACTTGCAACCCTTAGGGCAAAAGGAAAATAAGAAGGCCAAGGACACATTAATCCGATAAATAGAGAAAGATATGAGAGGAATGAACAGAAATTGGACAGAACTGGAGAGGGAAGCCCAGGACAATTACCGACATGGCTCTGTCCACTCGTCAATAACTTCATGGATTCCTGCCATGTTTTGGTTTGGCCGCCCCTAGCTTTCTTCCAACCTATTCCTACACTACAAAACAAAGCTCGACGAGGCAGTCGGTGGTTAGGCATACGCAAGACATGTCCCAACTACCTCAACTGATGAAGTTTCACCACTTCATCTATTGATCTGCCATCCTTACCTAGTACTCGTTTCCTAATAACAGCGTTGCTCGCTCGGGTGTCCCAGGATATACGAGCAATGCTTCGAAGACACCTATGTTCGAAAACCAGTAACCTACGAATATCTTCTACTCTCACTGGCCATGTTTCACAGCCATAAACTAAGACGGAGCGAACTACTGCGCAGTACACTCGTCCTTTAGTCAGCAAACGGATATCTCGCCTTCGCTTTAAGTGACGCAACTTGGCAAAAGCCAATCGAACTTTCTGTATCCGTGGTGAGATTTCGTCACAAACCAGGCCATCGGCACTGATGAGACTCCCAAGATAAGTGAAGCGGTCTACACGTTCGACTACTTCACTCTCACGAACAATATTTTTGTAAAATTGTATTGTACAATCCACACAACAACAACGACATTGTTTGTAAGATACTTATCTTAAGTTTTACCGACAGATGTCATGTTTCTACTGCTTTTTTTTTGAAATTTGTATCATTTTCGTTTATTTATTGCATTGCAGTGCACTCACTGTACGATCGCATTATTATTTTGACATTTTGGCATTTTCATTTTCTTATAGATGGCAAAAGAACAAAATATGATGGAATTAAATTCCATTATCGATTGGAGACGTCGTTGTGATGATGAAGCACAAGAAATAGTCAATCGAATGAAAGATTTACAAGTAAATTAAGTTTGTTTGTTTTAAATTGTTATAGAAATGAAATGAATAAGTAAATCTGAAAGTTAAAAGTTCAACTGAAAACATACTATGATAATTAGAAGTATTTGAATTATAGGATGAACTAATAATCCCGGAAATAACTTAAGTGGATCAAGAACTACTAGATAAGCACGAAAGAATTTACTGTATTTAGAATTGGGAAGAGGTGAATTGAGAGCCATTGTCGGATACGATCACATCTGGTATGCCGTTTCGTGAGAAAATTTCAGAAAGGAGCTGTATAGTTTTAGTTGTAGTGGGCGGCATAACGGGGCTGATTTCCGGCCATTTAGAAAAGACGTCGACGACAATTAAATACATAGTTCCATTTATTGGGCCAGCGAAGTCGACATGTATCCTGGACCAAGGATGCTCAGGTTTGGGCCATGAAACCAGTGGAATTTTGGCATTCATCTTTGCCTCCTGCTGACACCGCATGCATTTTTCAACCAACGCTGTGACATGTTGATCCATGTGAGGCCAGTATGCATAACTCCTGGCTATGGACTTCATTCGTTTAATCCCAGGATGACCAAGATGGAACTGTCTCAGCACTTTTGCACGAAGGGATTCTGGCACCACTACTCTTTCACCAAACATCAGACAATCGTTCACGATGCATAGTGACTCCCGCCGCTGATACAGTTGCTTCATGTCACCTTCAAACTTTTTCGACGGCCAACCGTTAGTGACATATTTCATCGTCATCTTGATGATGGGGTCGTTTCTAGAAGCATTTTGTATGTCTGTTGCAGACACCGGTAATGCGCGAACTGCGGTTGTCAGATAACATTCTGCGTGGTCTTCTACTGACAGAGATGCGATTATCATGTTTTCCTCAGCCGCCACTTGATCATTAATGAGTTGTGACAAAGCATCTGCTTGACCGAATTGTAGAGTACGTCGATATTGGATTTCGAAATCATACCCCAAAAGTACCAAGGCCCATCGCTGAAGACGATTTGCAGAATGGGCTGGAATGCCAGACTTTGAACCAAATATTGCTAACAGAGGCTTGTGATTTGTGAGGAGCGTGAATCTCCGGCCGTACAGAAACTTATGGAAACGGCGAACAGCAAACACAAGGGCAAGAGCTTCTTTCTCTATCTGGCTATACTTCTTTTCTGCTGGGGTCAGTGTACGGGATGCATGCATAACGGCTTTTTCTGACGCGTCTGGAAACTGATGTGAAATAACAGCACCTAGGCCATATGCTGAAGCGTCTGCTGCTACGATGATCGGCATGGATGGGTCGTAGTGTGTTAATAACAATTCCGAGCTAATTATAGACTTGAGTTTACCAAAAGCCGCGTCACACCCTTTAGTCCAGTTCCATGTGCTATGCTTCTGCAGTAGACAATTCAATGGAGCGCGAATATCATGCATCGAGGGAACAAAAGCTGAATAATAACTGATTAAACCGAAAAAAGATCGTAATTCGGAAACATTAGTGGGAGTGGGCATCAGTTTGATAGCTCGGATGTTTTCAGGATCCGGTCTGCGACCGTCGGCATCAAAGATGAATCCCAAATACTTTACCGATTGCAATAGAAACTGGCATTTTTCTGGGCGTAACCGGAAACCATAATCACTGATGCGTTGTAGTTCCAATGTCGTGCGTTCCCGTAGCTCTTCTACGTCTTCGCAACGTCTTCTTGCAATTAATTGGTCTCTCAGCTGCACATGAAGTTGATCACCGAAATCACATTTGACAGCTTGTTTCTGCAATTCAAGAATGAATTCCTTAACCTTTTGGTCATTTTGACGAGTCATCTTATGAAATTTCGCCCTTTCGCGGCATTCAAAACTAGTGCACTTTACTTACTTACTTACGCCTGTTACTCCCAATGGAGCATAGGCCGCTCACCAGTTTTCTCCAACCAACTCTGTCCTGGGCTTCCCTCTCCAGTTCTGTCCAATGTTTGTTCATTCCTCTCATATCTTTCTCTATTTCTCGGCGTAGTGTGTTCCTTGGCCTTCCTCTTTTCCTTTTGCCTTGAGGGTTCCATGTGAGGGCTTGTCTGGTGACGCAGTTAGGTGCTTTTCGTAGTGAATGTCCTATCCACTTCCACCGCTTCTTCCTGATTTCCTCCTCCACTGGAATCTGACTTGTTCTCTCCCACAGTTCGTTGTTGCTGATGGTGTCTGGCCAACGAATACGAAGTATTTTGAGTAGACAGCTGTTAATAAACACTTGTATCTTCTGAATGATGGCTTTGGTAGTTCTCCAAGTTTCCGCTCCATACAGTAGAACTGTCTTCACATTTGTATTGAAAATCCTGATTTTGGTTTTGGTTGGTTGTTGTTTGGAGTTCCAGATATTCTTCAACTGTAGAAATGCAGCCCTCGCTTTGCCAATCCGCGCCCTCACATCTGCGTCCGATCCACCTTTCTCGTCGATGATGCTGCCCAGATATGTAAAGTTGTTAACGTCCTCGAAAGCATCTCCATCAAGCGTGATTTGATTGGTGCATGTTGTGTTGCATCGGAGAACTTTGCTTTTTCTTTTATTTATGTTGAGACCTACTGCTGCAGAGGCTGCTGCTTCACTGGTCAACTTCTCTTGCATTTGTTGTTGAGTGTGCGATAGAAGAGCCAGGTGATCTGCGAAGTCCAGATCGTCCAGCTGCGTCCTAACTGTCCAGTTGATACCGTGCTTCCCTCCAGATGTTGACGTCTTCATAATCCAGTCGATGACCAGGAGAAAGAGAAAGTGTGAGAGTAAGCAACCTTGCCTGACACCGGTCTTCACCTCGAAAGAGTCTGTCAGCTGACCTCCGTGCACGATTTTGCAGTTGAATCTATCATAAGAATTCCGTATGATGTTGACTATTTTCTCAGGCACACCGTAGTGTCGAAGAAGCCTCCACAGTGTTTTCCTATCCACGCTATCGAATGCTTTCTCGTAGTCGATGAAGTTGATGTAGAGTGGTGAGTTCCATTCAATTGATTGTTCCACAATGATCCGTAATGTAGCAATTTGGTCAGTACATGATCGATCCTTACGAAATCCGGCCTGTTGATCTTGAAGTTGGGCGTCTACGAAGTCGTTCATTCTGTTTAACAATACTCTGTTGAAGACTTTGCCTGGTATTGAAAGAAGAGTGATGCCTCTGTAGTTCTCACACTTACTGAGATCGCCTTTCTTTGGTATTTTGATGAGGTATCCTTCTTTCCAATCTGATGGTACTTGTTCCTCATCCCAAATCTTCTTGAAGAGGATGTGAAATATTTTTGCAGTTGCTTCCACATCTGCTTTCATTGCCTCTGCTGGAATGTTGTCTGGTCCTGCTGCTTTGCCGCTCTTGATTTGTCTGATGGCCATACTGATCTCCTCAATCGTAGGTGCGCCAATATTAATTGGGAGGTCTTTGGATGCTGCTTCGATGTTGGGTGGGTTCAGTGGAGCTGGTCGATTCAATAGTTCCTTAAAGTGCTCTACCCACCTATTTCGCTGTTCGTCAGTGTTGCTGATTATTTTCCCTTCCTTGCTTTTCACTGGTCGTTCTGGTTTACGATAGTTTGCGGCGAGCTTCTTTGTTGTTTCGTACAATTGTCTCAAGTTTCCTTCTCTTGCAGCCTTTTCCGCCGTCATTGCTAGATCTTCCACATATTTTCGTTTGTCAGCTCTGATGCTCTTCCTCACTTCCCTGTTTGCTTCTGTGTATTCAGCTTGTGCCTTAACTTTCTCTGCTCTTGTTCGGCTGACATTCACTGCTGCCTTCTTGTTACTCCTTTCTTCAACTTTTGCAAGAGTATCAACAGAGATCCATTCCTTGTGATGGTACTTCTTGCGACCAAGGACCTCCTGACATGTTGAAGTGATTGCCTCCTTAATCTTTTTCCAATTGTTCTCCAATGTTGCTTCCTCTCCATTGAGTAGATCCTGAAAGGCCTGGAACCTATTGGTGAGGGCTACCTTGAATTCGTTGAGTTTTACAGTATCCCGAAGAAAGGCCGTATTAAACTTCTGTGATGTTGTCTGCCCCGTTGTCCAGTGCTTCTTTAGCTTCAGTTTCATTTTGGCGATCAGCAAATGGTGATCTGAAGCTATATCAGCTCCTCTCTTGGTTCTCACATCCTCCATGGTCCTTCTGAACTTTTTGTTGATACAGATATGGTCAATTTGGTTTTGAGTAGTGTGATCCGGTGAAATCCATGTGGCTTTGTGTATGCGTTTGTGCGGGAATATTGTGCCACTGATGACCAGTTTGTTGAAGGCACATAGGTTTGCAAATCTCTCACCGTTTTCGTTCCTTTCTCCCAGTCCATGTCGTCCCATGATGTCTTCATATCCAGTGTTGTCTATGCCAACCTTGGCATTCAGGTCTCCCATAAGAATCGTCAAATCGTTTGGTGAACATTTCTCGACGATTGACTGCAGCCTTTCGTAGAATTGATCTTTAACGTCGTCATTGTAGTCATTGGTAGGTGCATAACATTGGATGACGTTCATTGTAATGTCCTCTTTCTTTGTTTTGAAGGATGCTTTGATGATCCTGGGTCCATGAGATTCCCATCCTATCAGTGCCTTTTGTGCATGTTTGGACAGCATCAGTGCAACTCCTTGTGTATGTGAAGCGTTTTCCTCTTCATGACCAGAGTATAACAGCAGTTCCCCTGAAGCTAGTCTCAGTTGTCCTACCTGTGTCCAATGCGTTTCACTGATGCCGAGCACCTCGAGGTTGTATCTTTTCATTTCTGCCGCAACTTGAAATAGTCTTCCAGTCTCCCACAATGTACGAACGTTCCATGTACCTAAAAAAATGGTTGCTCTGGTTGTCAGAAGAGGCATCAGCCCCGTGACTTCCGAGGGAACTCGGCTTTCATCACGAGACGTCATAATTCTTCTTCCAACTCCCAGGGCAGAGTTAAAATGGTTTGAATTATTTTTTCTGGTTAGCGTTTTTTTGGCAAGTGAGATTTCAACGGAATGGGGTCGCCAACCCCATGTCCAACCCTCCTCCTTTATCCGGGCTTGGGACCGGCAGTAGCCCCTAAGGTTCTACTGGCGGAGTTTAGTGCACTTTACATGATTTAATAATAACTCCTTAAGCATTGCATAGGGAAGTGAGATAGGTTTTTCCGGATATGCAAAAGTTTTTAATAAGCTGTACCTTTCGCTTCTGATGAATGCCAGGAAATGTGCCACAATCTTATCATCTTTAACATCTTTCTTGGTCATGCTCCAGATTTCAAACCTTTCCAAATAATCCTCAAAAGCTTCAAAAGTTGAATGAATATTTAACTGTTCCATCACAAGCTCCATCGCGACGCCAATATGATAATTAGAAGTATTTTAATTTTTGGATGAACTAATAATCCCAGAAATAACGTAAGTGGATCAAGAACTACTAGATAAGCACGAAAGAATGTACTGTATTTAGAATTCGAAATCAGGCATTCAACAACAACAAGAAGTAACTAGTTCATTCAAACACCACACATACTCATGCCTGATTACGTGGAAATAGTTAATTAAAGCAAGAAATATTGGTTGAGAAAAGCGTTTGAACTTCCTGGTCGAAAACTGGGTCTCATTGAATTATACTTCTTGAATAATAATCTTCTCCATTACTGCTAATACTTCTACTATTGCTATCACTCTTGGATTTGAACTGACAAATGCATCTCTGTGCTGATGTGGTATGGCAACCTGAACCGATGTACATACGTACGACGTTCTGCGTTGTATCTATCTATAAAAACAACAGTTTGCATGTTAGCGAAACAAACACATACACACACATCTTAAACATGCTTGTATTTGTTACACAATGAGTTGATCAGAAAAGATACACTGCATTCTCACCACATTAGGCCATCATGCAAATTACATATTAATCCAGATAAGAGTTTCCATGAAGGATAAAAATCACTCCATCTAAAGAAGAATATCATAAAGTTTTTAACTCACAACTGATAATTGATTCTGTTTATAAACTAAACTAAAAAAAAACTTCTTCTTTTTTTACTTTTTTCAGATTTATAAATTAATTGATGAAACTAAATTGGATCTTGTTACAAAACTGATTTCTATTCTCTTATATTTAAGTGTAAGTTACATTATTAATTATTCATTGATTGTAACAAAAAAAAATCTAGAATTTATCTGATCATCGATATATGAATCAAATTCCAGCATGTCTTGATAGTATTTTCAATGAAATTAAACATGATATTCATCCAAGTAATATCAAGTGAGTGAATATTGCACTGAATTTTTTGATTAAATTTTATTTTTCTTCTCCATTATTTATGATGTTAAGGATATTCATCAAAGTAAATATTTCGTTTTGAATTATGGTGGGAACTTATTATTAGCAGGGATGGATGAAGGTTAACAGTGGAATCCAGTATGCGTATATCTGCTTCTATTTAAGAATTGTCAGCTGACTGTGAATCGGCATCTCAGAGACTCGAACCCGGTACCGTTCAGTGTCAACGTCATCATGTTATCTACTACTGAGTTAATAATGAATCCAGGATAGACACTAGCGTGTGTGTAATGTGGTGAACTGTATTATATTTTGTGTTGGCTGTTTAAATCTTCCTATGAGTGTTTAGAACTAGAATGGATGAGTCTCTTCTTGGTATATATATATATATATATATATATATATATATATATATATATATATATATATATATATATATATATGAATCCTATGTGGATTAACCTCAATATTGATATATTAAGTCGCAAGTATGATAAGTATAGATGGATAAAACGAAACACCCTCCTCGGATTCGATTGCTAACTTGTGACAAGATGATGTATATATGCCAAAAAGAGACTGTTGATCAATCGCAAGATTTAGTCAATCCCCCAAAACAAATCATTTCACGTTTATTAGTTTTAGAACCAAAAAAGTACGCTTAAAATTCTCAATATATTCAGTCGACGTTTTAGCTGTTTAACAATATATCTACAAGATCTTTGGAGGGAGGTTTTGTGTATAAATATTTTGCTACAGATCACACAGAGAGACAATTTTCCGGATTCAGGTCATCAGTCAGTCAATCAGATGCAACGTAGAACTTCGTACTTAAGTACATCAGTTCATGTTGCCATACCACATCAGCACGGAGATCTAATTGTCAATTCAAACCCAATAGTAGAAGAGGTAGTAAAGGTATTTGAAGTAATCGCAGAGTTTAGGATTATAAGATATTCAAGAAATATGTTTCAGTGAGAAAAGTTTAGAAAGTCAAAACTAGAGGTGTTGAAGAATGCAGAAGATTAGGATTTGAGAGAGCTCAACGAATGGATGCACTTGCGCCATTGCAAACGGTTTTGAGCCATGTCATTCAGGGTCTCTAACCATCGATTATTATCATCTCGCGGACCCCAACCAGGTAGTCGACAACTACCGACATGGCCAAGTCCACTCGTCAATGACTTCATGGATTTCTGCCATGTTTTGATTTGGCCGCCCCTAAATTCCTTCTAACCTACTCCGACACTACAAAACAAAGCTCGTCGAGGCAGTCGGTGGTTATGCATACTCAGCACATGTCCCAACCACCTGAACTGATGAGGTTTCATTACTTCATCTATTGATTTGCCATCGCTACCTAGTACTCGTTTCATAACGACAGCATTGCTTACTCGGTTGTCCCACGATATACGAGCAATGCTTCGAAGACACCTATGATCGAAAACCAATAACCGACGAGTAACTTCTACTCTCATTGGCCATGTTTCACAGCCATAAAGTAAGACGGAGCGAACCACTGCGCAGTACACTCGTCCTTTAGTCAGCAAACGGATATCTCGTCTACGCCATAAGTGACGCAGGTTGGCAAAAGGCAATTGAGCCTTCTGAGATCTCGTCACACACCAGGCCATCAGCACTAATGAGACTCCGGAGATAAGTGAAGCGGTCTACACGTTCGACTACTTCACTCCCTATCACTTGTTCAGGTGCCGATGCAACCCAATCTTGAAGCAACATTTTGCATTTCGAGGGGGAAAACCGCATCCCGAACATGCTAGGATTGTTTCTTAGGGTGATCAGAAGACACTGCATTTTTTCAGAGTGGTGTTCGAGTAGAGTGCTTGTATAAGGTTAATGTACTTCTTTGTACACCTTTCAATGACAATCACTGCCACAGAACCTCACGATCAATAGAGTCGAATGCCGCGTTAAGGTCCAGGAAGACAGCTATTGTAGGACGCCTAAATGTGTGTCTATGTTCCAGGACCTGTCGTAGTGTGAAGATGTGGTCCATGCAACCACGTCCAGGTCGAAAACCAGCCTGGTTTTCTCGAGTTTGCTCTTCACGAGCTTTCGTTAAGCGTCGAAGTCTTATTGAGGCCAATATTTTAGATACTATATTAGTTAGACTTATTCCCCTGTGACTGTCACAAGAAGACTTTTGTCCTTTCTGCAGCTCGCCCTCGCTTCAGATTTGCTAACGTTTTCTCAACTTCATTAAAACTAGGAGGACTTACGACGATTTGCCATTCAGAGTGACTGGAGATCGTGGGTAACCGAAGAGTGGCTCAAGGCCAGTTAAACTGATCCCTAAAGTGTTCTGCCCATCGATCCAGTCTCCTGAATTGAGAATAAATAATAGTCCCATCCTTTTCCGAGAATGTCTCACACTAGTATTCCTAATACCAGTTTCCTTGAAAAGTCGGAAAAGTTGTCCACTGTTGCCGATCGCCGCTGCCTTTTCCATCTCTCTCGCTTTCTCCACCCACCACTGTTCTCGATCATTGCGTAGGCTTCTTGTCAGTCTACGTCTAAGCTGATTCCGCTACTTATCGCCCGTCAGGTCATCAGTAATTCATCCAATATCCTAAGATAATTGTTTGTAAGTCTAATTCTATTGGTCGTTCTTACTATCAATGTCGTTTCCTATTCGACCTAACTGTATAAATATGCACTATCTGTAAGGTTTTATAACCTGGGATCCTTATCCTCTTCTGGACTGGGACATCGTACTCTCCTGGATGCTTGTAGAATACACGTTCTACTTCATATCAAGTCTTCTTCTTCTACTTAATGGGGGTTTGGGACGCTCGGATTAGTTAGAGTAGCCTATCGTGTCACTCTTTATGTTCTCTGAAATTCTAACCTTCAGAATTCCTTATCATCTCTATCTTTCTCTTTCTAGAGTTATGTCACTCAATCATACTTTTTGAATCACATCTTCGAACCTTAACCTTCTCCATTACTGCTAATACTTCTACTATTGCTATCACTCTTGGATTTGAACTGACAGTTGCGTCTCTGTGCTGATGTGGTATGGCGACCTGAACTGATGTACGCACGTACGTACGAAGTTCTGTGTTGTATCTGTCTTTCGTGTCACTGGATCATCGATCCTCGCTCTTATTTCCTGACTAAGATGAACTCGTAATAGTTCAAGCATATCAATTCGACATGTTCACATGCAATTCGTAACAATCTATGCATATTTGTTTTTCATTGTTTTATTTTTCACTGATGTATCACAGATGTTTTGAAACAACAGTGGAAAGTGTAATTGGACAAATTTTGAATCCAGTCGCTAATAGTGCCGCTTATAATAATAATAATAATACACGAATGTATTATAAATATCATCATCCAATGATGTATAACACACAATGTCAACAAGACAATCTAATTTAAACTGTGTATGTATGTATGAATGATTAAAAGGATATTTATTTTTTTGCTTTTACACTTATCTCTTTAGTTTATTTATAATTAATAATTTTTTTGTTGTTATTATTACTATTATTTTATTCTGTTCTGTTCTGTTCAGTCTCTGTGTGTGTGTGTTTATTTTATTTTGCATTGTCTTGTTTGCTTTTTTTTTCTTTCGTTATTATTCTTTTCATTTTCATCATCTGTTTAATTTGTAAACTTTTTAAATGATGCATAAAACTTATATTGTATTTATTAATTTTTGCTTTTGTAAGAAAAAAAAAAACTAGAGATGAATACTCCTCCTATTTTGGTTGTGTTCTATTATTATTATTACAATTATTATTATTATTATTATTATTATTATTACTATTATTATTATTGGATACTGGTTGTTGTACATTATTATTATTATTGTTAAACAGATGATATATATAACTATTGAAAACAATGTGAATTGTTTTGAGTTTGTTTTTGTAGGGTTCGTCATTAACTAGGTACACTTGAACCCTATTACGAGTTCACCTTAGTCGATAAACACAAGTGTAGTGTAGGAGTAGGCTGGAAGAAAGTTAGGGGTGGCCAAACCAAAACATGGCAGAAATCCATGAAGTCACTGACAAGTGAACTGAGCCATGTCGGTAGGTGTAGACTACCTGATTGGGGTCCGCGAGATGATAATAATCGATGGTTAGATACCCACGAATGACATGGCTCAAAATCGTTCGCAATGGCGCCGGTGTATTAATTCTTTGTCTTCTCTCAAATCCTAATCTTCTGGATTCCTCAACACCTCTAGTTTCGACTATCTAAACTTATCTCACTGAATCATACTTCTTGAATAATATCTACTAACCCTAACCTTTCCGATTACTTCTAATTCCCTTACTACCTCTACTACTATTGGATTTGAATTGACAATTACATCTGTGTGCTGATGTGGTATGGCAAAATGAACTGATGTACTTACGTACGAAGTTCTACGTTGCATCTGACTGACTGATAAACACAAGAACGAGACAATCAACCAGCGTCCAGATAGGCTACCTTGAATCCCAAGCTGAAGTAAGAAGACTTTGTAAGCGTAGAAAGTATATTCTACAACAACACCCAGCAATCACACAATACAATCAAGCATACAACTCTCGTTTATTTATACATTATAGAAACGTCCTTGGGACAGTTACGAAAATAGCACATTAAAATACGCAGCAGCCAATCACAGCCATGGATTTTGATGTTGGGAAATGAAATCTCAAGGTCAACTGATCAGTCCATGCTGGCAAACAGGAAATCCAAAATTAGGGCATTTATCAAGCGATTTTTTGGGGGATCTAACATCCCCAACAGTTTTTTTAGAAAATTGGTCACTCTTGTGGTGTTACCACACAGGTAGATGTATTTGACACCCCAATGGACTATTCACACCATTTATATACACTTGTAAGTATATATATAGTAGTGATTGTTTCCGATTTGTGATCGCGTCTGTAATATCAAGCAAGAGTAGTAATGTGAATATAGGAGAATTTTAACTCTATTGGTAGTACCAGTTTAATTAAATGTTTCACAGTCCATAGACAATAATACTGAGCTACCTCAAAAAACGTTTTTCAGTATAAAATATTCAGGGTCTCAACAATTTTCCGTTTGGAATATTTCCCGTAGCACGTGGGTTTTACTTTGGGGCCCTCCTCGAGTTTTTGACGTAGATGTCTAGTCCGCAAGGCAGTGAGGCAATGTTAAGAGGTGCAGTCACGTAGTAGTTGGTGACAACAATAGGTTAATTTGCCACTCACTCCTCCAGAGTATACCACTAGTCTGAAATCTTAACCTCTCTGAGTAGACCGTTTGTGCCCACCGACCCTGTCTAAGTCCGATCGGATACTTATTTTCTGTGAACAGCCGCGAGAAGGCATATGAGAGGATTTGGCGTGGGGATCTTCTCAATCGTGTCTGAGCGTTTTGGAGGTAAATACCAGAGAGCACTGGTGGGCCGTTTCTCCCCAGTTTCGGACTATTCAATAGTGAACATTCACGATTCCGCAACCAGAAACCGGACATAAGACCATTACTTTTATGCAAACGCTTGGCCTCTAGGCCAGTGAATTAGGCTGTGTGAGAGCATTCTGAGAGGATGGGCGAACTATCCTAGCTATATCATGGCATTTGTAGTCGTCTAATCAACAACAGATTACCTGTTGTAACAATTATAGGTAGATAATTATTAGTTCTTTCAAAAGAATATAAAACCATGGAGAGTGTTCTCTATGGATTACTACTACAATACAAGACGTGTACTCTTTGAATTGGTCAATATGAAATTAGGGAGACTTGCACTTCTTAGGTTCTAGATGTTGTTACTCTTAAATATTTTTTTGATATTAGTAAGAAAGGATGTAAAAACTCCTCTAGCATAAGCCTTATTTTGGTTTTTTGAACAATTGTCAAGATGACATGTGAACATGTGAATTCATGTCAAGTAAACAAAACACTTTAATAATTAATATTTATTTCTGATAATATACAAAAATTCCGTTAAAGAATAATAATATCACCATGAAGAGAAATCAGTCAGTTGTGATTTTAATACAAGTTTTTGTTTTTTACGCAAAACTTCTTCATTCATCTGTAAATTGGAATCATTATCTTTTCCATGTTTATTAGTAGTTATCATAGTTTTTGTATCAAATTGATCTAGATGTTCATGAATAAATTTACCAACACCGGTTCGATACACTTCTTTTGCAATGATACCTGAAAGTAAATCATGTGTATTTAATAAAGAAAAAAAAATTGTCATTAAGACATAATGGTTTCTATGGGAGTAAACTGTGGCAAAATCTATGTAGTAGTAGTCTATGTTGTTTAGTTGTTTGATTTACAACATCAACAATCGTTTGCATTAGCGGTGCAGTCAGATAAAGGAATGTGAGTAGAGTAAGTTGTGGAGAGAAGAGAGGTATTAGGGGGTGTAAGGAAGGATTTTATTTTGACCAATTTGGTCTCGTGTGATGTTACAGGTATGAGGGCGGTTGTCGATTCCCGGCTGCTCACACCGTGGAAGGTTGTTTCTTGAGGGACCTGAAAAGAAAGATAGATTAGTGTTGGTCTTAGAGACCTGGGTGCGTGACCGCAGAGTCCAAGGGACAACTGCTTGAGGCCGGTCACGCACGGCCTTTTTATGAGAGGTATTTAGAGGATTAGCTCCGTTCTTAAAGGCCCTTAGTGGGCACCCTTACCCAAGGAGACGGAAATCCGTGAGGTAGGGTGAGGTGTGACATTTTTAGGGTCGACCTTTTCTAACCCTTCCTTCCTTGTTAGAAGACAGCATCGCTGCAGATGCTGGTTGTCCGACGGAAACACCTTACTGCTGTCACACCCCTCTACCTCATACCTTGGGTAGCTGCTTTTAGTCTCATCGTTCTCCAATCAACCTGCCTGGCATGGTAGGACCTGCAGGAACGTATGTTCCAGCCAGTATAGCTCGGTTGGGTCATGACGATAGGCAAGCCCGACCACCACGTTAAGGTAGCAGCTACGGTCGGGACAACATCAACAAAAGATGCTTCAGATACAAAAAAACAGTTGGATAATTACTTGTCTTTAAAATTACGCAAAAGTATCCTTGATAAAATGACATCATCTAGAAGATACAAGTTTTGATTAACAGTTGTCTACGCAGAATACTTCAGATGCGTTAGCCGGACACTATCGCTAACAACCTACTGTGGGAAAGAACAAACCAGATTCCAGCAGAGAAGGAAATCAGGAAGAAGCGCTGAAAAAGGATAGGACATACATTACGCAAAGTACCAAACTGCGTCACAAAACAAGCCCTCACTTAGAACCATCGAGGTCAAAGGAAAAGAAGGCTAAGGAGAACATTACGCCAAGAAATGCAGACAGACATGAGGACAATGAACAAAAATTGGACGGAACTGGAAAGGGAGGCCCAGGACAGAGTAAGTTGGACAATGCTGGTCGACAACCTATGCTCCCTTGGGTGTAACAGGCGTAATTAAGTAAGTAATCCCTGATAAAATGTACGTAACACAATAGGATTCGAACTCAGGACCTGTTGTCTTGCACGCGAACGCCTAACCACTGGGCCGGCACCCAACGGTTTTGAATTAGTCGTCACTTATAAACAGTAACAGAGACGTTAATAGTTGGTGAACTGAATGAAAGCTTACATTTCGAACAACTAAACATAAAAACATACACCGAATTACCGGAGAATAGTTTACAAAATTTTATGTATTATTCTATTAGTTCACCCATTTATATTACCAATTTATACGATCTGAGTATAAATCTTTAGTCTCTGCATTAATTCATTTCAAGTTGTTTAACATCTAGCCAAACGATAAAATTCCTAACTCAGAATACAAACGCATGACTATGTGTTCCTTATTACAGCTAGGTAAAAGAATTCTCTAGCACTGCAATCATTGACTGTTATTTTTTATAAAAGAACTCCATTGAGAATAAGGGAAAAACTATACTAGATGAATGGTTTGACCAGTCAGTCAGATGCAACGTAGAACTTCGTACGTAAGTACATCAGTTCATGTTGCCATACCACATCAGCACAGAGACGCCACTGTCAATTCAAATCCAATAGTACAAGAGGTAGTAAAGGTATTAGAAGTAATCGGAGAGGTTAGAATTAGAAGATATTAATCAAGAAGTATGATTCAGTGAGTTAAGTTTAAAAATACAAAAGTAGAGGTGTTGAAGAATCCAGAAGATTAGGATTTGAGAGAACACAAAGCATAAATGCACCGGCGCCATTGCGAACGATTTTGAGCCATGTCATTCAAAGTCTCTTACCATTGATTATTATCATCTCGCGGACCCCAACCAGGTAGTCGACAATTACCGACATGGCTAAGTCCACTCGTCAATGACTTCATGGATTTCTGCAATGTTTTGGTTTGGCCGCCCCTAGCTTTCTTCCAACCTATTCCTACACTACAAAACAAAGCTCGACGAGCTTTGTTTTTGTTTGACCAAACTGAAATAGACCAAGCATAGACAACTGTTCATAAAATAAATGATTTTATTTATTTTACTAACTAAAAAGCATTAAATTGTGAAAATTACCTAAGAGTAACATAACTTTTTTTAAAATTAACCTAATATATTTTTTTTCAAACAATAACCACTTACCATTTTGTTCATTGCGTTTAGCACGTTCAGCAGCTTCTAAAGCTTCTTCTTCTCGACGATTGCCTGGTTTCGGATGTAAAGTTTTATCAGTAGTACTATCAGTGTTTTTTGCTTCACTAATATTAGCACGTTCTTTCATTAACATTTCATCAATATCTTTAAATGGATCCACATATACTTCACAATTGATTATTTGTATATCTTCCTAATCAAAAGACAATGATGCATGCATGTGTTCATTAAACAAACAAAGCTATAAAAATATGCAGAGTCTTCTGACTACCATAAGCAACAATGCAAGCATATTCGTGATGCGGTTCTCACCCTCGAAATGCAAAATGTTGATTCAAGATTGGGTTTCATCGGCACCTGAATTAGTGATAAAGAATGAAGTAGTCGAACGTGTTGATCGCTTCACTTATCTGGGGAGTCTCATCAGCGCTGATAGCCTGGTAACTGACGAAATCTCAGCTCGGATATAGAAAGCTCGGTTGGCTTTTGCCAACCTGCGTCACTTATGGAGTAGGCGAGATATCCGTTTGCTGACTAAAGGACGAGTGTACTGCGCAGTGGTTCCCTCCGTCTCACTTTATGGCTGTGAAACATCGCCAGTCAGAGTAAAAGATACTCGTAGGTTATTGGTTTTCGAGCATAGGTGTCTTCGAAGCATTGCTCGTATATCCTGGGACACCCGAGTGAGCAACGCTGTTATTAGGAATCGGGTGCTAGGTAAGAATGGCAGATCAATCGATGAAGTAATCAAAGTTCATCACTTGAGGTGGTTGGGACATGCGCTGCGTATGCCTAACCACCGACTGCCTCGAAGAGCTATGTTTTGTAGTGTAGGAATACGTTGGAAGAAAGCTAGGGGCGGCCAAATCAAAACATTGCAGAAATCCATGAAGTCATTGACGAGTGGACTGAGCCATGTCGGTAATTGTCGACTACCTGGTTGGGGTCCGCGAGATGATAATAATCAATGGTTAGAGACCTTGAATGACATGGCTCAAAATCGTTCGCAATGGCGCCGGTGCATTTATTCTTTGTGTTCTCTCAAATCCGAATCTTCTGGATTTCTAAACTTTTCTCATTTAATCATACTTCTTGATTAATATCTTCTAATTCTAACCTCTCCGATTACTTCTAATACCTTTACTACCTCTACTACTATTGGATTTGAATTGACAGTGGCGTCTCTGTGCTGATGTGGTATGGCAACATGAACTGATGTACTTACGTACGAAGTTCTACGGTGCATCTGACTGACTGACTGACTCTTATTGCCATGACTGTGTAGCAATCGCCTTCTCGCGGCTAGGGCGCTGTTTACGAAGAATGAATGTCCAGCAGAACTTGAACCAGGTTACTGGGTACAGAGAAGCCACCTGGAGATGTTAAAAAAACCCTGACTACAGATCAATGAGTTCCAGGATTCTGGGAGAACTAATGCTGGATAAACCTATTGTTGTTCATCGGCTATCACGGTACTACGTCCCTGTTCTATTGCCATGCAGACTAGACATCGAGGTCAAAGAGTCAAAGGAGTGGGCCCATAAGAAAACTAGGTACTTTGGTTCGAGCGTCTTGTGGACATTACAGCCCACAAAAAATCTCAGTGGTTTGTGTGGCACATATATATAAATAAGTAACAAAAGAGAAGCTCAAATGCTTTGTATTAGTATTTCATAAAGTAGATCATAAAACTTACCGTCTATTTTTGGACATATGCTAATTTCAAATGAGTGGCTGAGCATTGGAATGAAATATCATGGTTTCTGATATTGCTAGTGTAAATTCCTCTCTAGTACTAATAAACTTTTACATTTGGAAACCTTTAAAACTATTGACCTTGAAATGTTCACCTGCTTTTCTCATGTTTTAACAAATGACAGCTCTCCCCATTTCTTATTGTTGATTGTACGAAGTGTATAGTCAACGAGCAATTCGTTAGGTGCTAATTACGTAATGACCATCCCAATAATACAGCACATAAACCATACATCTTTACTATTGGTTACTTTATGAGTAAATTTACTCTATTGTAAATTTCAACAAATTAATTTTAGTATGTGTACCGCCGAAGCGAGTACAAATTAATGTAAAAAGTGAGAGTTTAGTACGAATTTGAATTGGCAATCTAACTGATTGTTTTTAAACTTGATATACTTTCGTTTCTAAAGTCGAACCGCATCATTATCTGATTTTACAGCAGGTATAACCCAAAAGACAAATCTGTGCTGAATCACTGAGTGATTGTATACTTAATCACGGTAGACAACTGTATTTTCAGTTTAAATACAATAATATAAACCAGTATAAAAACAAAAAAGTACGTCAAAACTATCGGTAACAAAATAAATCTATTTCACTTACCAATGGTCGATCATCTTTATCGGTTTCCATCATTTCAATTTTTCCTAAGAAATCTAAGCCTCCAACAACCCTGAATTTTATTTAATTATATGAGAAATATTACAAGACTTACTTGCCGAATACAGTATGCTTTCGATCTAAATGTTTGCACTTTCGAAAAGTAATAAAGCTGAAAAGATATTCTAAATGAAAATGTAAAACGCTTACTTACAATTGAGATCGATTAGTATTTGGTCCAGAATTAGCCATCGATACAACACCACGTGTATCATGACTTAAATTAGGCACGAACTCATCTTCAAAAGATCCACCCCATACTGAATCACCACCAAATCCAGTACCAGTTGGATCACCTCCTTGAACCTAAAAAACAACATCGCAATGTGAACTGTCTTTGCAGATAATTCAAATGAACATACAATGAAGTAGCGAATAAGTCTATGAAAACTTGTATCATTATAATAACCGGCAGAACAATGACGTAGAAAATTTTCACATGTTTTTGGAACTAAATCACAATGCAACTCAAGGTTTAATTTTCCATGTGAAGTAATCAGACTGACATAACCTTTCTTTTTTACATACTTATATCGGACTACATCATCTTCGAGAATGGCTAAAATTGAAATAAATCAGTTTTATCGATTAGATTAGGGGGGGATGAAAAGCAAACCTGGTTCAATTTTTGTTACCGGTTCCATAACAGTTGAAGTAAGTGAAGCTGCTGCTCGACCAGTTGAATAAGTAGCCTAAAAAAGAGATCAATTAAGAGATAACATGTAATAATGATAATGTACTTATTTACTGTATTAAAAACGTCACGTTTTTTTCCTGTATCTACTGAATTTTTCTTTGATGAATACATATAGTCTGGTACTGAAATTTCTTTCGGTAATTCAGCCAGAGTTTCTTTTGTTTCTTGATTTAACGAACGTATAACTACTACATTGCCTTCATCTAAACAATATATCATAATGAATACAATTTTGTTTTTTTTTTGACAAACTTTGAGCTTCTTCTTTATTTTTCACATGATAAAAAGCGGAAATGTTAAATTTTTCTAGTTGTGCAGGATCTTGTATTGTAATGACATCATCTTTTGTAAATGGTTCAGAATTGAGTAAGTCAAGAAAATTATTTGCCTTTAAATTTAAACGTTGAACAGCCTATAAATGTGTAAGTATATTTCATTGATAGAATAAATTAAAAATTTAACATTACATCAAAGCAATACACATTTCCTGTTGGTTTAATGGCAACAATATGTGTATTTTCATTGAATACTTTAAATGTTACAGGACAATGAAATTTTCCATCAGAATTACGATGAAAATTTAACTTGATCAATTCACTCATTTTCATTTTCTACAAAAAAAAATAATTAGTTGAAAATATTATGGAAGACTAATTTGCTTACCAACCCAGTAACAGGATTAATTCCATGCTTTTTGAGAAATGGTAAAATATTCCTATAAATTAAAATTTTCACTGTTTGATTGACTTACTCTAAATCGAAAATTATTCCCTCTTTTGTACAATATGGATTTAAGAAAGGTTGAAAAGAAATGCTTAAGTGGAAAAAAAAATACAGGAGATGGTTAACGGTATAATCTTAAAGAGAAATAATTTACTCACCTGCAACAGTGGAATGGAAGCCGTTTAAATTGTCGGCCACTATCAGTAGCACGTTTTCCACCATACAATGTACTCCATTCTGTACATGTAATATAACTTTGTTACACACAAAATTAGATAATTAAATGGACAACTTACAGTTTGTCTTTCTGATGCTGCTTTTTTCCCATGATGAGCAGTTACTGACCGACTGGAAAAGAAATGTGAGTAGCCTAGTATGAGAAAAAAACCGAACCAAAAAGCAGACACTCAATTTTTTTACATGCACGTTGTAATAACACTTATAGGAAACAAAAAAGGTAGAACGTAACATAGTAGTGCACTGGGACAAACTCGGAAAAAATTTGTAAAAGCAAAGTGGAAACGAACGAAGATTTAAAAGTAACAATAACCAAGTGAGAAGATATGAAAAGGGTCAGGCGCGAACCTACTTTTGCACAAACACAGTTGTACACTTTTGAAATGCTCTCCCAGTCAAAGAAGTCAAGGACCCCAAAACCGATAGCTTTAAGAGAAGACTTTACAACCACACACACCGTGTATGTCTATTTCCAACTTGGATTAGCTGTACCTGATGCATCTCTAAAAACTTATCAGCCACCACATTCCATTAGCCGGTGGTAGATATAGGCCACCCTATTCGGACATTGTCATTTTATCGTTTCCTTTTACCTGTTGTTTTTTCACTTCTGTCTATTTATGTTGTTTGCGTCATTGAGTTATTGGTTTGATCCTCGCCGTTGTTTTTCTGAAATCTCACGAGTTAGAATTTTTCCAATAATATTCCTTCCGTCTGTTAATTTGATAGACTTGTGTTTTTGCGCAAACACGCTCACTCAAAATACAAGATGAACAAACCTTAGACAACTATCAAATTAACCAGGAATAGCGCAGTCATTAGACTACAGCCGTCACACGTGAAATCAGCAAAGACGAGTAACCCTACGGAAAGAACAAAAACTGGGCAGAAAGACAACACGCCACTTTAACTAACTCATGACAAAGATATTAGATTTGATTTTAGTTAGAATAGTGAGTCAAAACAAGCATCAACTTTGAAGACGTTACGTCAAAAAATCTAAGGTAAGAAAACCCGTTTGAAATGTATGGTATTTATATATGGAAATCACAGTATTTTTTCAAACGTAATGGTATTGCTAGGCATTACTTGAAAAAGAAATTCATACCTGTATGAAAAAACAAAGGAAGTGTTAAGATGTACGAGAATTCATCAACAACAAAAGACAGCTACGGCAGATATAGAAAAGTTACGCGTTTGTCAAAACTTGCACATCATAATCCAATATCCAATATCTGTCTCACAAGCTAATATAAACCAATTAATTACTTTGTACTCGATTCTTGTTCTTTCAGTACGGTTCCAGGTGTTCCGTAGTGTCCAATGAATGGAGGTCTAGCCACTAGACTGTCTAACTCTAGTCAGTTGGTTGTTTGTCTTGTGATTTGAATGAAAACGTTTGTTACAGGGCAGTAGGGTCTCTGGATACCAGCAGTTATCACATTACCAGATCGGAGATCAGTTAGTTGCAATGAAGAGAATAATAAGGAAGAAAGTCTAATGCTAATATGAATAAGGTTTCAGAACTAAGTAAATCAGTAGATAATTTAGTTTATTAATTGGTAGTGAAGATTGTAAGAGAGGATTGAAGTGTAAGCAAGGGAGAGGAGACAGAGATGATAGGCGAGACAGAATAATTGAGTGATCTGAGGAGATGTAATTGATAACAACTAGCAGGTCTCAAGATATGCATCAGGCATAGACTGACCATGAGGGTGATGATAATCCGTATATGAGTATGTAATTATCAAGTCTCTTCTTAAACCTGTCCACTGAGAGGAGCATTCCAAGTTGCGGCTACTCGCAATGAGAAAAAGTGTTCACGAACCTGAGTATTCTCTCTTCATTGTGCAATTTTTCAAGATTTGCTTCGAGGGTAGTGGTGATGCATCTGTAAGATGCTCATATAGGGATGATTTAACGTGCCTAAATATGTTGAACGCCATAATCAGATCACCTCTGACCCTCCTGTAACTCAGTGGGAATGATCCCAAGTACTGGAGTCCATCTCCGTAAGGTTTATTCTTCAACCCTATCACCCATTTGGTTGATCGCCTTCGCACTCGATCCAAGAGATTTATGTCTCTTTTAAGAAAAGGGGGTGCGATGATGTTGTGAACCTCCAGGCGAGGGCGCGCGTATGTCTTAAATAACGTTAAGAATAATTGTAGGGTGATAACACGAAGATATCTCTGCATAAAGTGAAGATTCGCATTTGCCTTGGCTGCGTCCCCTATTTAGTTCGGGCTCGTGTGGAGGCTTTCTGCCGTTAGTAAACCGAGATGGCACCCTGAGGAGACATTCAGGAGCGAACTTTCATTGAGGGTATAAATAGTTTGCCTCATATGGGGCAGAAGGTACATGACATGACACTTCGGTAAGATGTAAGGTCGTTTTGAAGCTCAGTCGGATCCTCTGTGCTTCTAATGGAACTCCAGGTCTTCGCATCGTATGCTTAGATCAATGCCGGGGAGCTAACTGAGCCCAACATCTTCTTCTTACGCCTGTTACCCCCAATGGAGCATAATCCGCCCACCTAACCAACTCTGTCCTGGGCTTCCCATTCCAATTCTGTCCAATTTTTGTTTATTCTTCTCATGTCTTTCTCTATTTACCTGCGTAATGAGTTCCTTGGCCTTTCTCTTTTCCTTTTGCCTTGAGGGTTCCATGTGAGGGCTTGTCTTGTGACGCAGTTAGGTGCTTTTCGTAATGTGTGTGTCCTGTCCACTTCCACCGCTTCTTCCTGATTTCCAACTCCACTGGAATCTGGTTTGTTTTCTCCAACAACACGTTGTTGCTGATGGTGTCTGGCCAACGAATACGAAGTATTTTGCGTAGACAGCTGTTAATAAACACTTGTATCCTCTGGATGATGGCTTTCGTAGTTCTCCAGGTTTCCGCTCCATACAGTAGAACTGTCTTCACATTTGTATTGAAAATCCTGATTTTGGTTTTGGATGAAAGTTATTTGGAGTTCCAGATATTTTTCAATTGTAGAAATGCAGCCCTTGATTTGCCAATCCGCGCCCTCAAATCTGCATCCGATCCACCTTGGTTGTCGATGATGCTGCCAAGATACGTAAAGATGTTAACTTCCTCCAAGGCATCTCCATCAAGAGTGATTTGGTTAGTGCATGTTGTGTTGCATCGGAGAATTTTGCTTTTTCCTTTATGTATGTTGAGACCTATTGCTGCAGAGGCTGCTGCTACACTGGTCGTCTTCTCTTGCATTTGTTGTTGAGTGTGAGATAGAAGAGCCAAGTCATCTGCGAAGTCCAGATCGTCCAGCTGCGTCCTAACTGTCCAGTTGATACCGTGCTTCCCTCCAGACGTCGACGTCTTCATAATCCAGTCGATGACCAGGAGAAAGAGAAAGGGTGATAGTAAGCAACCTTGCCTGACACCGGTCTTCACCTCGAAAGAGTCTGTCAGCTGTCCTCCGTGCACGATTTTGCAGTTGAATCCATCATAAGAGTTCCGTATGATGTTGACCATCTTCTCAGGCACATCGTAGTGTCTAAGAAGCCTCCATAGTGTTTTCCTATCCACGCTATCGAATGCTTTCTCGTAGTCGATGAAGTTGATGTAGAGTGGTGAGTTCCATTCAATTGATTTTTCCACAATGATCCGTAATGTAGCAATTTGGTCAGTACACGATCGATCCTTACGAAATCCGGCCTGATGATCTCGAAGTTGGGCGTCTACGAAGTCCTTCATTCTGTTTAACAATACTCTGTTGAAGACTTTGCCTGGTATTGAAAGAAGAGTGATGCCTCTGTAGTTTTCACACTTGCTGAGATCGCCTTTCTTTGGTATTTTGATGAGGTATCCTTCTTTCCAATCTGATGGTACTTGTTCTTCATCCCAAATCTTCTTGAAGAGGATGTGAAATATTTTTGCAGTTTCTTCCACATCAGCTTTCATTGCCTCTGCTGGAATGTTGTCTGGTCCTGCTGCTTTGCCGCTCTTGATTTGTCTGATTGTCTTACTGATCTCCTCAATCGTAGGTGCGCCAATATTAATTGGGAGGTCTTTGGATGCTGCTTCGATGTTGGGTGGGTTCAGTGGAGCTGGTCGATTCAATAGTTCCTTAAAGTGCTCTACCCATCTATTTCGCTGTTCGTCAGTGTTGCTGATTACTTTGCCTTCCTTGCTTTTCACTGGTCGTTCTGGTTTACGATATTTCCCGGCGAGCTTCTTTGTTGTTTCGTACAATTGTCTCAAGTTTCGTTCTCTTGCAGCCTTTTCTGCCGTCATTGCTAGATCTTCCACATATTTTCGTTTGTCAGCTCTGATAATCTTCTTCACTTTCCTGTTCGCTTCTGTGTATGCAACTTGTGCCTTGAATTTCTCTGCTCTTGTTCGGCTGATGCTGATTGCTGCCTCATTGTTCCTCCTTTCTTGAATACTATCCAGGATACCAACGGTGATACAATCCTTGTGATGGTACTTTTTGTGACCCAGAACTTCGTGACATGTTGAAGTGATTGCCTCCTTAATCCCTTTCTAATTGTTCTCCAATGTTGCTTCCTCTCCATTGAGTAGATCCTGAAAGGCCTGAAACCTATTGGTGAGGGCTATCTTGAATTCGTTGATCAGCAAATGGTGATCTGAAGCTATATCAGCTCCTCTCTTGGTTCTCACATCCTCCATGGTCCTTCTGAACTTTTTGTTGATACAGATATGGTCAATTTGGTTTTGAGTAGTGTGATCCGGTGAAATCCATGTAGCTTTGTGTGCGCGTTTGTGCGGGAATATTGTGCCACCGATGAACATTTTGTTGAAGGCACATAGGTTTGCAAATCACTCACCATTTTCGTTCTTTTCCCCTAGTCCATTTCGTCCAATGATGTCTTCATATCCAGTGTTGTCCATGCCAACTTTTGCATTTAGGTCTCCCATTAGAATCGTCAATTCCTTTGGCGAGCATCTGTCGACGATTGACTGCAGCTTTTCATAGAATTGATCTTTATCGTTATGATTGTAGTCGTTGGTGGGTACATAGCATTGGATGATGTTCACTGTAATGTCCTCTTTCTTTGTTCCTATCAGTGCCTTTTGTGCCTGCTTGGACAGCATCAGTGCAACTCCTTGTGTATGTGAAGCATTTTCCTCCTCATGACCAGAGTATAACAGCAGTTCCCCTGAAGCTAGTCACAGTTGTCCAAAATGCAGGTGAACCCGAAATATATATTTAGCTTTATGATTAAAAGAAAACCTAAAAATCAGGCCCAAATGGCGAAGATCATACCAAATAAAGATGACTGAGATCTTTAGTACCAACTCCACCGGCGAGTTAAGCTGATGGACAGGGGAATTTCCAACTTACTCCTGGCTTACCACAAGTACAATCGAAGGAAAGAGAAGAATCGGTAAATGAGCGAATGGAGTAATACATGGATAAGAACAATATACTTCATGAGGCCTAACACTGGTTGAAGAAGGACGAGTCGTGTGTATCCAGTTTCCCATATCATGTCATAGCTGGGAAATTGCTAGTGCCAAAACTGCGGGTTCATATAATATTTCTCGTCTTCAAAATCTTCGGTGCTGTACCACACGTATTCATATTAGCAAACATTTCGAAAATAGGTTAAATGATCCACTTCTTTTTTGGCTCCGAGACCACCTAGTGGAGAAAACGTTCTGTACTAAGATTTATAGAGTAATTGCAAGTCTCAGCACCTGGAATTTCAAAGGGGACTATTTTAGGTTCATTCCTCTTCTTGATATTTTCAAATGACTTGTTAGATAATATGAGCTCAGAGACATAAATCAATACAGATAATGCAAAGTTCTGAAGGTTCATAAGATACGATGAGGATTCTGGCAATACAATGATCTCACAGCATCAGAACAGGCTAAAACGTAAGCAGTCGAAATATTACATCATGAACCTTCTGCCCCACGCGACACAAACAACTCAAGTCCTTATCGTAAGTTCTCTCCAGAATGATTACTCAGAATGCGAACTCCCTCTGGTAATCACAGAAAACCTGGACATAAATTTGAAGTATGTAGGGTATGCATCCAAGGCTAACGTAACTCTTCACTTATTTCAAAGGTAACTTGGTGCAATCACCTAACAGTAGTAGTTACCTCTCCTTAAATCACACTCACGGCCACACACTGAAGTTCACGTTGCCGTTATTTTTGCAATTTCCTCAGATCACCGACCTAACCTCTCTCGCTTATTATCTATGTTTCCTCTTCTTTGCTCACACTTTGGTCCTCTTGCACAATCTTCACTAGCGATTAACTAACTTATTTGTATGTTTATTTACTTCTGAAATCTTCTCCTTAGCATCAGAATTTTCTTCTTCTTCTTGTCCTCCTCATTAAAACTAGCTAACCTCTGGCCTGGTGACATGATAGCTGCTGATATGCAGAAAGCCTACTGCTTTGAAACAAACACACTAATTTGAATCACAGGACATACAAATTCACAGACAACTACCAACTGACTAGGACCAGTGCAGTCGGGTGGCTTAACCACCATCTATTGGACACAACCAAATTCCTGGAACCGTGCCGAGAGAACGAGAATCGGGCGCAAAGAAATCAATTGTTTTTAACTAGCTCGATAAAAAGATATTGAATACTGGAAACCTCAAGGTTTAGGTCAGGCCACTGGTTTGTATTATCGCGAAAGGATGGTTTTCGAGTCACTGGTTACGGATCTTATCAATAGGTATTTAGGCTCTTATATAGAGGCACTAAACGCATCCCAATTGAAAATTGGTCTCCTCGGAGGTGGGTTGATTTCTGTCTGATTTATTTTGTTCAGGAAATGCCCAGCTTGACAACTTGGACATCAAAGCTAATGCTTTCGATGATTTGGATCTACCTGTTAAAGTACTTCAGGGTCACATAAGTAAGCATTGATTACTGCGCCCAATTTCAGGTTCTCTTACACTTAAAATCCCCTTCAAAAATCTATTTACGGAACCTACGATTGCTGAGTTAACAGGGCTTTATATTCTCATTGTTCCAAACATAGGTAAGATAAAATCCCGAGGTAAAGTATTTTTACAGCTGTGGAATATGACGAAACGAAGGAAAAACGCTATGCCAAAGAATTGAAACAAAAGGAGTTATCTAGTGTGGAGGCAGCTCGTTTGAAACCCAAGAATGCGGCTGGTATTTTAGACTTTAAATAACCTTTCAAACTCTTTTCAGATGATCCTAAAGCAGATTCTTTTGGCGAAAAGTTGGCAGCGCAAGTCATCAAAAACCTACAAATTTCTATCAAAGATATCCATATACGATATGAGGATAGCTATAGTATTCCGAATCGTACTTTCTCTCTTGGGTTAACTCTAAGTGGGCTAACGTTTCAGGTAAGATTTTTGTCAATTTGCATATCGTTTTAGACTTGCGACAGTAATCAGAAGCCTATTCTTATAAAGGATGAGTCCATTCGTCAATTCAGCAAAGTTAGTGCAACAAGTCACTAATAATCTTATAGTTTATAAAACTTACAAGCCTTGGTGTGTATTGGAATCCAATGTCTACGAAGTTCGCAGAAAAAGCCAAAGTTCCTCTTCGGGTATGCGTCTAACTTCTTGTGGAATATTGTTCTCTAGAGTGCTATGCGTAATTCGATCGCCAGCCCAGATAATCTTAACACTGGCTTTCATTACTGTAGGTTTCATAACACATTCATATTCCTTTTTAGTGGTGAAACCGATTTCATCTACGGCAATGCTTCATGTCCATACAAGACCAGAAGAGACGAATTACTCCATACCACAAATGGACTTAGTTGTTAACTTTGCTGAGATTGAATTATGTTTTAGTCTTTCCCAATACCATGATATAACATGTTTCTTGGAAGCTCAGGATAGAATAGTGACCCAGGGAAAATACCGCAAATACAGACCATTAAAACAGAATTTACAAAATTACAAAGTTCGGTGGGTTTTATTTTTTTGTTTTGGTAAATGAATACTTCGTCTAAGTTCCTCCTATAATTTTAGACTTGATTGTTAGTCTTTAGTGGCTCAAGTATCGGAGAGTCGCAAAAGCTAGTCGAGCCTTCAATATTTGTGACAGCCCTGACAAACACCACTTGAAGCAGTCAATTCTGATGATGTTTTGTGATTAGTTCTGACTCGACAAATAGTATTCAGGTAGAGAGCCTGTACAAGGTTAATGTATTTCTTTGGTTCAGTGACAGACAGTTACAGGATCTCACGGTGAATATAGTCGAACTCTGCTTTAAAGTCAAGGAATACAACTACTATCGGACGTCTGAATGTTTGTGTATGCTCTAGGACCTGAAGAAATGTGAATACATGGTCTGAACATGCACATCCAGGTCTGAAACCAGCCTGGTTTTCTCGAGTCTGCTCTTCACGAGCCCCGATTAGGCGTCGGATTATTATTGGACCTAATATTTTAGACACTATTTTATTTAATCTGACTCCCCTGTGATTATCGCAAGAAGATTTTCATCCTTCCTTATAGACTAGCACAATCAGCGATTGATACCAGTCGGATGGGATTACACCCAGTCCCCAGATTCTGCCAAAGATTTCAGTCAATCTGACTGCTATAGCTGGACCACCATCCTTAAAAATCCCAAGGGTTAATCTATCAGGACCTGGTGCTTCCCCTCATCTTAGCTAACGGAACTTTTTGTCTTGTTTGGCACGAAGTTCGAACATTAAGAGCTCAAACATGTAGTTCTGAGATCTGTTTCAAAGGACCAGGAATAACTTTTCAGGTCATTAGCATTTGCGGCGCGAGGTGGTATAGGTTTGCGAGTAGGGTCAATCATGGAAACGAGAGAGGTATTAAGAGATAAGGAGAGGCTTTGATTGTATGTTCGTCTGGTGTGCTTTTAGTAGTGTGAGGACAGGTGTCACTTTCCAGCTTCACACTCCATGGAACGGTGTTTCTTGAGGAACCTGAAAAGGAAGTAGGATTAACGTTGTCCCTAGCGACCGTGACCGTATGTCCCATGTGACAATTGCTTGAGGTCGGTCACACACGGCCTTTTTATACGAAATTTTTAGTGTGTTAGCTCCGCTCTTTTTGTATGAAATCATTGTAAAATGCAAATATGATTGCTTCGTTCAATCATTTGTAGGTGGCATTTTGCATACAACGCTATTTTGGAAGAGTTTGTTCGTCGCAGACGTCGCATGTGGTCATGGGAGCATATATCAAAACATAGAAAAATATCAAGAGAGTATATTGCAATCTGGAGAAAGAAGCTATCTGGAGATAAACTAAATCAAACTCATCTGGCTAATTTAGAGGTAAAATTCATTTCCTGTCAGCCTGATCATATGTTATGTTTAAATTTGATATACGTTTAATTATATTTCTTTTTTAATATTACGTGGATCGTTATAATTTCTGACCATGTTTTACAAATTTGAGGATGTGTAAGAGTAGTAAGGGTAAAATAACTGAGCTCACTATTATAGGTTGCTAATGCAACTGGTCTGCCAAATATGTGTTTTTATGCACATGGGTTTAAGCAACAGTTTGTTTAAAGGCTATATTGATGCTACTTTTCTACTGAGATCGAATTAACTCAACAGATGTTTTTTGGATCTGAAAACTGTTGGTTTAAGACCCAGTGCTTTCATCAATCACTGAGCGACCACAATGTTATTTGACAATATCAAACCGCTGAGAACATGAGTCGATTTTGTTATTTCATAAGTTTCTAAAGTGTAAATCTTTCGGTAGACAGATAGCAGTACCACACAACTTTGCTTTTCATTCTTCCAAACAAGTCATAGGTCCTCCTTTTTTTTCACAATTAAATTATCCAACGGTACACCGCTAAAAAATTCTTATGATGGATTCAACTGCAAAATCGTACACGAAGGACAGCTAACAGACTCTTTCGAGGTGAAGACCGGTGTGAGGCAAGGTTGCTTACTATCACCCTTTCTCTTTCTCCTGGTCATCGACTGGATTATGAAAACGTCAACATCTGGAGGGAAGTACGGTATCAACTGGACAGTTAGGACGCAGCTGGACGATCTGGACTTCGCAGATGACTTGGCTCTTCTATCTCACACTCAACAACAAATGCAAGAGAAGACGACCAGTGTAGCAGCAGCCTCTGTAGCAATAGGTCTCAACATACATAAAGGAAAAAGCAAAATTCTCCGATGCAACACAACATGCACCAACCAAATCACACACGATGGAGATGCCTTGGAGGACATTAACACCCTTACATATCTGGGCAACATCATCGACAATCAAAGCGGATCTGATGTAGATGTGAGGAAGCGTATCGGCAAAGCAAGTGCTGCATTTCTACAGTTGAAAAATATCTCCAACTCCAAACAACTTTCAACCAAAACCAAAATCAGGATTTTCAATACAAATGTGTAGACAGTTCTACTGTATGGAGCGGAAACGTGGAGAACTACCAAAGCCATCATCCAGAAGATACAAGTATTTATGAACAGTTGTCTACACAAAATACTTCGGATCCATTGACCAGACACCATCAGCAACAACCTACTGTGGGAGAGAATAAATCAGATTCCAGTGGAAGAGGAAATCAGGAAGAAGCGGTGGAAGTGGATAGGATACACACTGCGAAAAGCACCTAACTGCGTCACCAGACAAGCCCTCACATGGAACCCTGAAGGCAAAAGGAAAAGAGGAACGCCAAAGAATACATTACGCCGAGAAATAGAGAAAGATATGAGAGGAATGAACAGAAATTGGACAGAACTGGAGAGGGAAGCCCAGGACAGAGTTGGTTGGAGAAAACTGGTGGGTGGCCTATGCTCCATTGGGGGTAACAGGCGTAAGTAAGTAAGTAAGTAAGTAAGTACACCGCTAGAAACATACATATTTGGTCTACAAATCTTTTTCATTCTCTCCAATAAATATGTACCGTAAAGTACTTTTACTGACTATAGTCATAGGAAATTTTGTTTGGTGTTGAATATTTTCTTGTTTTTTTTCAAATTTTATTTTAGGCATATGAAGAATTTCTGGATGTATTCAACATTGTATTGTGTCGGCAACAAGCTGAACTTCAGGTATAGATCTTCAAATGATTGTATAGACTTTACATGTTGTTTCCATGAGCCTTTACACGAATTTCTATTTTAATTGTCACTAAGAATGGATAGTGCTATATATATATATATATATATATATATATATATATATGGATAAATCGATGGGAGAGCAAGTAATAGTAGTCTTCACATTTTCTGGGTAATTTCGATAACCATCGGCTGTTGGCTAGTATGCTACCGCATTCGTTCTATTTTGGCAAACTCCTACTGAGAGTGCTGACACTCCATTTTTGCAATGAATGACCTAGAACTAAGTACTTAATACATGATCCACTTCTACTGAATATTATACAGACATGTAACTTGTATTTAAATAAGAAGTTCCATTTTACATGAATAATCAGTCCTCTTCTGAAAAAAAAATGGTTGGTAGTGTATCTTGTCTATCATATATTGTCTTCTAGTTCTTATTTTCCTCTGATCAAACAAAGTCTTCAGAAAAGAAAGTAAAAAAGCGAAAACCACGTTTTAAGAAGGTATGTTTTTAATGTTGCATCTCTTATCTGTTCAATCGTCAAAGGATATATTGATGTAGTAGTACCAATGGTATTTATGTATGTTTGCTGTTGTTGTACTTCAATTGATCGTGGTAACTTGTGAAATTAAGAGTTGTACACCTTATAATTAGATGTTATAAAAGTTTAACTTGAGTTTGTAGTTATTCTTCATAATTAACTGTGTCTGTGTCTAACCATATTTTGTATTATACTAATTGATGTTGTGGTTATATGGATTTTTGTGAATCAAGTCTTTTTGATAAGTTACTGGTAATTTTTATACATAGCATGTTGATTTCAGCGAAATCATTGTTAAAAATAGAAATTTATTCAATTCAATTTTTTTAAATTCTAATTAGAAACATATCCTGATAATTTTAATAAAAGTGTCAAAACATAAGGTGTTGTTGACTAGGCCTTAAAATATCAGCCGTTACACTTTAGATGAGAAATTTAAAGTTCAACATTGTTTATGATGCTTTTTTTTGTAAACAAAATTTCAAAATATATGTGATACTTTATTTCTGACAAATGTTTGGATGTAATCTTCTAGTTATATTATTTAATAGTATGCGAATTCTAATATAAACTGTTTAGTTATTGTGATAGTGTTTTGTTGTCTGAGCTGGATAGTTTGATCATGAAGCTTTCATTATATTACTAGCCAATATTATCAGCTTATACTTTAAAATAGAGTGGCATTCTCTGGTAAAATACTGACAGCTTCGCAATAAAACTACATAGTTCAGAGAACAAACAATTTTCTCGAGAGATAAGTTTTCTTTTTCAGTGATTATATCACTATCAGGTTTCCTGACACAATTCTATTTGAACCAGTTAAAAATAGTCACTCACTGAATTGATATATCAAGGTGGGGGGTTGTGGAAGCAATTAAAAAGAAAGCAGTTGCATAAGAGCTTCTCATTCAATCAAATCAAGAAGATCGTGCGATACAATCAACTTTATCAATAAGAATTCCAAGGTTAGACATGGAATAGTGAAAAGTTAAACGAATCACTGTTTTTTTATAGCGACAATAGACTTTCTGTTATGGGTTTGTTTCGTTTGCATGATATTGATATTTTTATCATCAGTATCTGTGTATTATTAATCTAAGTTTTCACACATCTACCGATATAAGGCTTTGGATTCTTGTTAGGTAGTTAGTTCTATGACTCTAGAAAACAAAAATAGTAGTTTTACATGTTGAACTCATCAGTCAATCATTGTTAGACCATCATTAGAAACCTGGAAGCACTGGACGGCCGTTTCGTGAGGTTAGGCATTAACACTGTTGGATGCCGGCCAGAGATTAGACGTTCGCGCACAAGACCAAAGATCCTGGGTTCGAATTCTGCGAGGTGCAGGAGTTGTGGGTGCGTACTACTAGTAAGTCTTATATCAGGACGAAACGGCCTTCCAATGCTTCCATGTTTCTGATGGTGGTCTAACAACGATTGATTGATGATTTCAAATGTGTAAAAACACTGATCTCTATAACTCTAATTGAAAAAAATATTACCAACCTCATAGAAATAACTGGTCATAAATCTCTCTACACATCAATTTGTCTAAACCATTCGACTACCAATGCCTCGTAGAATTAATTTTCTAAGCTACAAGATTTGTTGATTGAATGTTGATTGTCTTGACCGATAGGCCAAAGTTACATTAAAAACTACTCACAATGGCCTATTTTTTGGTGGCTTTCCACTTTCTCATTATTGATATTCAAAACTAAATTGATCAGTAGCTCTCTGTTACTTGCATGTTAGATAAATTATCTTTTAAAAACTACTCATTATGAATTATTCTCGATATGAAATTTTATTTCTCAAAATGATGATCATCAGCAAACATTGGGCAATTTAATCCTCCTGTTCAACTGTTACAAATAATTCGTAACATTTTCAATATTGAACACTTTTTTCTCCATATTCTCCTTGTATTCTCAACTTCACACAGTTTAATGCCTCCAAGCAGAAACGTGATCAAAAAGCCAATTCAAGTGGTGGTGGTGGGGGCTGGTTTAGTTGGTTTTCACGTGGATCCACCGCTACGCCAGATGATACAGAAAATGCCTCAGAAGGTGATTTGATCAAACGTTTAGCAACCGAAATGACACCAGACGAGAAAGCACGTCTATTTGCTGCGATTGATTATTCCGAATCAGCTGCCGCAGGTGTTTCTGGTGCTGCAATTAATTTTCCCGCAAGTTATGTATCTTCTGCTGTAGCTGTCACTTTAAGACAATTTAGTTTAGTTTTGTTAGATGATAAATTAAGGTAAATATACAATTTTCTAAATTTCTGCATATGTTTCGTGTTTTTAATATGTTGTTTCCTTAGCTAATATTTACTTACCGCCTGTTTCGCCTAATCGAGCATACGCCGCCGACCAGCGAATTATTTTTCTGGTTAGCATTTTTCTAAGTGAGTTGGATTACTACCAGATGGGGTCGCTAACCCCATGCCCAACCTTTCTTCCTTATCTGGGCTTGGGACCGACGATAACCGTTGAAGGGTTCCAGGCGGAGTTCTTATTAGCTAATTTAAAATATTATTAGATTTTTAAAGAATAGTGGTTGTTGATTTTCTATTTTCGATATTCGGTTTTACCTTGGTTAATCATCTAATATCTACTTAGTAATCTAGCTGTACTATCTTGGTTGATTATTTTGTGCAAGAGTGATAGTTAAAAATATTTTTTTGGATTTCGATATTCCTTATCATGGAATCCATCTGATTGGGATTTAATGATTGATCTCATGAACGAAATTATCCTACTGGTTATCCCTGGTTTTTTTTTAAAAAAAATCAAATCTATTCACCTATTATATTAAGTATTGCAAGCAAATATTCACTCAAACTAGTTCTTATCCAAAATGGAAAGGTTCTGGTTTAGTCATTTTTTCAAAAAGACATCTCTTCCTGTAGTGGTGTTTCGTTTTCTCTAAGCTGGATGTTTTGGTTGTAGAGCTATTCAATGTTCTTTTGATGAACAACAACATCATCAGCACAAACTTCAGGTAGACAGAAGTGAACTATTTGAATTTCCTCGCGTATAATCCGTAGCTTGTTCTGGCAACCTCAATCTTGATTGGCTGTTGTTATTGACCTTGAGCCTCTTCATGTGAAATTTCATTGGATCTGTTAATCAACTCGCAACACTATGAGATATGAAGATGGAAATGCAAGGAACATGGCTGATTTGAAGATCGTTTTCATTTAGATCATTATTGATTATTATTGTTATTATCAATGCATCTTATTTCGTAACTTGTTAAGAATATTTCCATTAGTTTTGTATATCCCTTCTTCCTTTTTTTTCCCAGTGATCCTAATGTGCTTAAATTTTCTGTGAATAAACTTACCGCTGATGTTAAACAACGTGCAGGTGATCAAGCTTTAGCGTAAGTAACTTAAAGTACACATTCATTTAAGATGTATTAAGTGCATATAATGAAACAGATTACTGATGATACTCATGTAATGTGTAATAATGCATTGTAGTCTGCTTGGTTGAAATGAATAACGCATAAAACTGAGAATCAATCAGTCACAACAATACTGATTCATTAAGATTTTTCGTCTCTATCTACAGTAAAAAAATCGGTTCTTTTTCGTATATAACACTTTTTTCTCCATTCCTTCTTATTGTTTAGTATTTTTCATAATTATCATAGGTGCCTCCGAAGCATTGCTCGAGTATCGTAGAACAACCGAGTAAGCAATGCTATTGTTAGGAAACGGGTGCCAGATAAGGATGGTAGGTCAATGAAACTTCGGCGGTTGAGGTGGTTGGGACATGTGCTACGTATGCTTAACCACTGACTGCCTCTTCGAGCCATGTTTTGTGGTGTAGGAGTAGGTTGGAAGAAAGTTAGGGGTAGCCAAACCAAAACATGGCAGACATCCATGAAATCACTGACAAGTGGACTGAGTCATGTTGGTAGATGTAGGCTACTTGGTTGGGGTCCGCAAGATGATAATAATCGATTGTTAGAGACCCTGAGTGTGACATGGCTCAAAATCGTTTGCAATGGCGCTGGTGCATTTACTTTTTGTTTTCTATGAAATTCTAACCTTTTGAATTCCTCATAATTTCTATCCTTTTTCTTTCAAGTTTATTTCACTAGATTCTACTTCTTGAATAACATCTTCGAACCCTAATCTCTCCGATTACTTTTAATGCTTTTACTATGTCTACTACTATTGCCTCTGCTAATGTGGTATGGCAACTTGAACTGCTGTACTTACGTGCAAAGTTCTACGTTGCTGTTGATGATAATGATGATTTTCATAATCATTATTACTCCTGGTTTGATTTCCATCTGTTTACTATTCATCTGAATTTTATGTGAATTTATATTTTCATTTTTTTATCTACAATCCAATATATCCAATTATAGAGTTAATTAATGATTAAGGTAACTTTTATTTGTCGATACAACCATTTACTCTGTCTTCAAATCAAACAATGCATAAAATAAGCCCACTTAAAATGACTGTTCTACACATACAGTATGTAAATACACTAACGATGTTTTAATTATTGAAGTAATAATATTACAAGTTATGTACTTGACTTTGAGTCACACTTTTAATTGCAACAGTTAGTAATGCTAATCAGCTGTTCAAACCTAAGTCAGTCAGTTAGTTGTAACGTAGAACTTGGTACGTACGTACATAAGTCCAAGTTGCCTTACCATATTAGCACAGAGATACCATTATGAGTTCAAATCCAATAGTGGTAGAGATAGTAGAGGTATGACTGGTAATAAAGAAGATTAGGGTTCCAAGATTCAGTGAGATAACTGTAAAAAGAGAAAGATAGAGATGATGAAGAATTCAGAAGATTAGAATTCGAGAGAACACAAAGAGTGGATGCACCTACGCCGTTGCAAACGATTTCAAGCCATGTCGTTCAAGGTCTCTAACCATCGATTGCTATCATCTTGCAGACCCCAACCAGGTAGTTGACACCTACCAACATGACTTAATCCACTTGTCAGTAACTTTATGGATTTGTGCCATGTTTTGGTTTGGCCGTCCGCAACTTTCAACCTACTTCTACATCGCAAAACGTAGCTCGACGAGGCAGTTGGTGGTTTGGCATACGCAATACATGTCCCAACCACCTCAACTGATGAAGTTTCAATACCTCATCTATTGATTTTCCATCTTTACCTAGGACTCGGTTCCTAACGACAGCATTGCTTACTCGGTTGTCACAGGATATACCAGCAATGCTTCGAAGACATCTATAATCGGATACTAATAACCTACGAATATCTTCTACTCTGACTGGCCATGTTTAGCATCCATATAGTAGGACGTAGCGAATTGCTGTGCAATAGACTGATCCTTTAATTAGCAAACTGATATCTAGCCTACGGCATAAGTGACGCAAGTTGGCAAAAGTCATTCGAGCCTTCTGTATCCGTGCTGAGATTTCGCCACACACACCAGGCCATCAGCACTGATGAGATTCCCGAGATAAGTGAAGCGATGGACACGCTCAAACCGAAGTATGTGGTGCAGTGTTTGAACCTGTAAACTATTGATTGAAAACCAATTCTTCATTGTTAGAACATTAGGTTTGTGTATGTAGTAAAAGTAATGGTATCCTCCCCTCTCCCCCTTTTGGACTTCCTTTGAAAAACAATGGTTTGATTATCTTGTACTGTGTATGATTTTAATTGATGTTAAATTCATACTTGCTTCATTTATTATTCTAGTGTTTCATTAAGAATGGATAGTCTTGAAGCGGTAGGTGCTCAACCAACATCAAAAGAATCTTGTCTTGCTAAATCATCAACTAAACCTGTATTGATCACAAGTCAAATAAATCAGTCATCATTATCCAATAGTAATAATCAAACTAACAGTACTAGTACATTGAAATCTAGTCATCTGCTGTGTATTGATTTTGAAAAGAATCCTCTTGATCGTAAAGCTGATCAATGTGTTTACATTCAAGCTGATCCATTACAAATAGTTTATGATGCTGAAACTATTAATAAAATTGTTCATTTCTTTACTCCACCAAAAGATGTTCATTTGCAAGAGTAAGTTGTTTTTAATGCTAAAAGAAATATCCAACTTGTAGTGTTTGTTTATAACTATTGACTCGAGTTAGCATTGATTTTTGGTTTATTTAATACACATAATTCCTGTTTGTAATTGGGGACCGAAAAACTATGTTCCATACAATTAAAGTGACGGTCGTATGAAGGGAGGCAAGTCCATAAAGCACTCAAACCTCTGAAGCTCCGAAAGTCACTGAACCCGGACAACCTGCCACCCGGTTTTTTTTTAGTGGTAAGGGCGTACTTTTGGTCAGGGAATCGACAACCTAATGTTTAAAAAGTTTTAGGAAACAATGTTTCGACATTATGGAATGATGTTGTAGTGAAGGAGAACACAGGTGAGGGCAACCGAATTGTACTTATCGCAAATTACAGAGTTACTCAGTAAAATAGGAAAACCATATCGTAAACGGTTAATTTGCAAATCTTCAATCCATCATCAATCCATTGTCTGACATTTCACTATTTATGCGTTTCATACAAATTCCATTGTGTTCCCACTCTTCCTTTCTTGATCTTCCCCCACTTCTTCTGCTGCCAGACATTACGTTTTCACTCGCGTCATATACTACTTATAAGTAGCGCGCACCACAATGTGACAGTCTTCTCATTTAAGAAAAGTTTACACAATATGCACAACAATTATGATATGTCTGCTCTAAATAGAGTCCAAAATAACACCTCACAAATTGTACAAAATCCATGTAAGATTGACTACTGAGGAGCAAACTGGTTTACGATCTAGTCATGAATCGCATCTTCTGTATTGGTAATATTTACTCAATTCAGTAATCACCTGTAGTCCCGTTCAAACTTATTTTACAAGAGTTAAGAATACTAAACCAGTCAGCAACTAAAAGTTCAACTTCATAACATTTATTTGGATTCATAGCAGTTAGTTATTCATTCATTATTCAACCTATAAATCATTTTACAATATATAGATGAACGTATTATCAGTGGTTCATTTTTCTGTTTTATGGGATCAATAAGTTAGTCAACTGATTCATATTTGAATGCTTTCAAAGTGAAATCTAAGAAGATATAAATGTTATTGTAGCACTTGTAAATGATGTATAATCAGGAGGAGACATTTAAGTCATGTTTATTTCAGATTCATTAAACTACTTATTCTCATTTACTTTCTATACTACTTTCTCTCATATATATTAATTATCCATGTTTGTTCAAAATTTTATTTTATTGTTAGATTATCTAATACAGTGTTATCATCTTTTGAAGAAGTTAAAGAAGTAACTACAAGTGGTTTGAGACATCTAGCCAATAATCGTTCGTACACAGATGTTCGTATTGACATTAAACCAAGTTATTTTATATTACCAGACTCTGGGGTATTCAGAAGGTGAATTTTACGTTTATTTTTTAATTAGTACTAATTTTTTTCTAATCCTATTTATAATTTTATATATCATTCAGTCAAACGCAAATTACAAGTAAGTTCCAGATCATAGCTGATCCCTTTATGTGGTGTTCAGGCTTGCTTGTCATGACGAATCGGTCGAGCTGTATTGTCTAGGAATCTTGTTCTCCTAGATCCTACCATACCAGACAGTTTCGGTTAGAGAATAGTAAGACTAAAAACAGCAATTTTAGGTTGGAGGGCGAGATGAGACCACTGACTGTACTGAGGTTGTAGTAAGGTGTTTCTCTCAGGTAACCAGCATCTGTGGCGGTGCTGTCTTCTCACAACGAAAGAAAGGAGTTAAAAATTTTGACTCTAAAAATCTCACCCCTCAGATTTGGGTCTTTGGCAGTTAGAGATCTTTTAAAGTACGGAGTTAGCAGATGAAAAGCTTGCAAAAAATCATTTCTCCAGGTCATTAACCCAGCTTCCTTTTCAAATCCTTCATGAAAAAAATATCTTTCCATGCTATATTCTACTGTGAAACGACAGCCATTCTTAGACGTCTGACAGTACCCAAAATCTTTTTCACAACCAAATCCCCATATGACCTGTCAATGTTTCTCCTGTCTCCATGGTCAACTCTTCTAGCACAGGTTTATCACTACGCGTCATCAATGCTAACGGTTCAAGTCGACAGAATGTTATTTCTGGTGTTTTGAAACCCATACTCTAACAGTAGTTGTTGAACAAATTCGTTCCTTGTTGTTGTGCGTTCAGCCTCAAATTTTCCATTGATCTTCCACAATTATATGGTTATTTATTTGTCAAATGCAACACTGAGACTACTTCTGTAGTTTAACTATTCAAAAAGAGAAAAACAAAGTAACCATTACCATTTCACCGTTAAATTAGGTCGTTGTGTAGTGAAGGAGAACACAGGTGAGGGCAACCGAATTGTATTTAACGAAAATTACAGGGTTATTCAGTAAAATCGGAAAACCATATCCTAAATCGTTAATTTGCAAATCTTCAATCCACCATCAATCGATTGTCTGACATTTCACTTATTTATGCGTTTCATACAAATTCCATTGTGTTCCCATTCTTCTTACTTTCTTGATCTTTCCCATCTTCTGCTGTCAGACATTACGTTGACACTCACGTCATATACTACTTATAAGTAGCTCGTACCACAGTTGTAGTGTTCATCTGATATAGTTTAGAATCCAAATGACAGTATAATATAAAAATTGATTGAAAATGTTAAAGCCAACAATGTTTGATTTTAATCAGATAGTCAGTGAATGGTGTTAACTTTCAAACTTGACTATTGTATCAAATGTTTCGTGGATATCGGAAAACCCTAAAGCACACTGGTTAACCATTTCGTGCGTGGTATGGGAATCCTCACCAGCGCAATACTCGTAACTCCATGATTGGGATTTGAATCCAAGACCTACGGTCTAGAACGGTGGACTGGCATCCGACTGCCTATAACGTTAACTTTTTTTTTAGATCGAGATATTGCGTGACCATCTTCTATGGTCTTTGGTGAATAACTCCTTCACACCCCTACATAGGTGACCTCCACTAGTCACAGCTTCTCCTTATTTACGTTTATATTATCACATTCTTGAAAGAATCAATAAACATTTATTACTGTCTTCTATTCATCTGATATTTATTTTTTCATGTTTCTAATATGTATGTTGTTTTTTAAATTTTAATAATGTTAACAGTGATTGTCGTCTACTGTTGGTAGATCTTGGAAGTTTCACTGTTAATTCTAGTCGTACATCAATTGCATCAACATGTAAAAAAGAACAAAATCAAACTGAATCAAAAACTAGTGAAAAGAGTACTGATTCTCTAGATAAAACTAGTACGAAGAGTTCTGGTCAATTAAAACAAAAATCTGGAAAATTAACATTTGATGAATTGAAAGATGAAGCTTATGATAAATTCCATATCAGTTTATCATCAGTTCAAGTTATAATGGTTAATGAAGGTAAATTGTCCTTTTGATTCGACTTTTAAAAAGAAATTTCCTAGTAATAATTACATTCTATTTGACTGGATAGTTTTAATCGGGATTGACTACTTTTATCATGTGTAGTTAAATTGTTCATACCTAAAAACTGCTGTTATTAATGGAACGTTGTCGTTCGTTATCCTATAGGATAATTCAACAAAGACACATTTTAAAAGGTAACTATGGATAGATGAAATGAAAAACTTGACAGTCATTGAATCTCTATTCACATAATTTGACTTACCTGTAGGTAGTGAAAACGTTTCAGCGCTCACTTAAAAATTTTGTGATCATTTGCTATTATGGAAATAGAAAAAAACCATTGAACTGTAAAGAGCTAACTGCTAAAGTTGTTGTCTGAATAGGAATATCTCATACTTACTTACTTACTCAGTTACGCCTATTACCCCTGATGGAGCATAGGCCCCCAACCAGTGTTCCCCAGCCTACTCTGTCCTGGGCTTCTCTTTCCAGTTCTGTCCAATCTCAATCAATCAATAGCAACATAGAACTTCGTACGTACTTACATCAGTTCATGTTGCCATACCACATTAGCACAGAGATGTAATTGTCAATTCAAATCCAATAGTAGTAGAGGTAGTAAAGGTATTAGCAGTAGTCGGAGAGGTTAGGATTAGAAGATATTATTCAAGAAGTAGAATCTAGTGAAATAGACTTAGAAAGATAAGGGTAAAGTGATGAAGAATCCAGAAGATTAGGATTTGAGAGAACACAAAGAATGAATGCATCTGTACCATTGCAAACGGTCTTGAGCCATGTCATTCAAGGTCTCTAACCATCGATTATTATCATCTCGCGGACCCCGACCAGGTACTCGACACCTACCGACATGACTCAGTTTACTTGTCAATGACTTCATTGATTTGTGCCATGTTTTGCTCTGGCCGCCCCTAGCTTTCGTCCAACCTATTCCTACACCGCGAAATATAGCTCGATGACGCAGTCGGTGGTTAGGCTTACGTTCTATTTCTCAGCGTATTGTGTTTCTTGGAACCTCCTTCTTTCCTTTGACCTTCAGGGTTCCAAGTGAGAGCTTGTCTTGTGACGCTGTGTGTGCTATCCACTTCTAGCATTTGTTTCTGATTTCCTCCTAAGCTGGAATTTGGTCTGTTCTCTCCCACGGTAGATTTTTGCTGATTGTGTCTGGTCAACGGATAAGAAGTATTTTATGTAGACAAATGTTAATAAATACTTGTATCTTCTGGATGATGGCTTTGGTAGCACTCGAAGTTCCCGCCCCATACTGTAGAACGGTCTTGACATTTGTATTGAAAATTTAGCACTCTCTCATGGTACAATAAGAATTCACATAGATTATTTATACATGAAATGGAATATACATATCCAAACAACCTCAGTCGGTAGTAGTTTTTCACAGCCTTATCAACTTATCTTTAATTAGCATTCTATGTGTAGCTTTAACATTGCCCGCTCGGTTGTTTCACAAAAACTGGGACAATTCTTTGAATAGGTCTGCGGTCAAATACTCGCCAGTTTACGTATATGTTTTACTTTCGTAGTATATGTTATACAACTTTTAAAGAATTATAATGTGGACCACTGTACAGTAGTAGTAATACGGTAGACAAAGATCTCGTCTATGCTCCAAGTATCACAACTTATCAACAGTTAGGTGGGCATTTTAAATTTGTGCTCATGACATTAGTATTACTCAAAAGTTGCTCTTCACACCTGTAACTTATTACTAAACAGACTGTCAGCAAATGTACATCATCGCAAGTGATGTAAGTTCGCTAATTATTTCATAAATTATTGTTTTTTTTTTCAGGATTTTAGATAGTTTTTGGTTTTTTTTAGAAATATAGACCCCTTGTTTTTTGTAAGAACGTTTATTTGTTAGATAATAGTTCATTTGAATGTTTATTTATCATAAAATATCAGAGGATACAATTTGTTTCAGTAAATAATAATAATAATAATAATAATATAAATTATATATTTTCAATCTCTAAAATATCCTTGTTGTGATGTTTATTTTAAAAAGGTGATGATTGGCGATCTCTACGAAAAATGGATAAATCATCCAATCATATATTGAAACCTTTAGCTTTAAATTGTACGCTAAGACGATGTTTGCTGCGAAATGATGTCAATTTACCAAGGTAAATAATAATAATAATGATAATAATTATGCTAAAAATAGTAACAGAAAATATTTTAGGGATTATTGCTTATTTCATCATTCAATTGCGTGTTTGTTCTTTTAAATGTCAGCGTTTTTTTTGTTTAATGTTCAGTTGAATGGAATTGAAAAGCTTTTAGGAGTAAGAAGCTTTCACATTGATTTTCAGCTAATTTTAGAATCACTGTATCATATGAATGTTTCTAAAGTGTATTCAAGACAAAGTATGTGTGTTGTTTTTGCTACGAACTTGTTCAAATCAAAGTACATTACATCATGGTTAGCGTAGACTACCTGTTTGGTGGGGTTCACGAGATGATGGTCAGATACATTGATTAACATGGCTCAATAGCGTAGGGGCATTCACTCTTTGGCTTCTCTCAAATCCTCATCCTCTGGATTCTTCATCACCTTTATCTTTATCTTTTTAAGTTTATTTTACTAGATTCTACTTCTTGACTAATTTCTTCGAACCCTTATCTTCTCTATTACCACTAATTCTTTTACTATCTCTACTCCTAATGAATTTGAATTGACAATTGTGTCTTTGTGCTAATGTGGTATGGCAACATGAACTTATGTACATACGTACGAAGTTCTACGTTGTAAATGATCTTATATACAAGTGTTTATTTGCCAGACAATGAATAGCACTTATTCTACATAGAATATTTGCTCTTGTTAATCTTTTCTATACTTGAGTATATGGAACCGAGTGCCTGATGGCTAAAAGCAAACGTTTGAATTATTTAGATCCAGAAGATCAAGGTTTGGCCGTTCTATCAGATAACATATTCCTGTACATTTTGTTCCATTGAAAGAAAATTCACACTGTAACTCACCAACCAGTTTTAACACGCCACCTGAAGCAATTTTGGCTGTTTTCTCTTAGATGGCTCCATTGGCTATCTTCCCAGCAAGTTATACGTTTCTCTAGACACTAAGGTGATATCTGATGCCGTGTCGATTTGAAAACGAGCTGATACACCGTTCATATCTGGATAGCAACATACTTTCTCCGAACGTCATAGTCTGTTTGAAAAGCAGCTACCCGAGAAAGTGATTTAGACTCGGCTAATTTCACCACATGTGGAGTACGTTTATGCTTCTTCCTGGGTTGTGAGACATACGATTCGGTTGACAATGGCCTTCTTTATGTCCACGTTTGTTGCACATCTGACATTTATGTTTTTTAAATGAACAGAACCATACGTAATGCCAATCACCACATACTTACTTAATTACGCCTGTTACTCCCAATGGAGCATAGGCCGCTGACCAGGTTTCTCCAACCAACTCTGTCCTGGGCTTCCCTTTCCGATTCTGTCCAATTTTTGTTAATTCTTCTCATATCTTTCTCTATTTCTCGGGGAAATATGTTCTATGGTCTTCCTTTTTTCCTTTTGCCTTGAGGGTTCCATGTGGGGGCTTGTCTTGTGACTCAATTAGGTGCTTTTCGTAGTGTGTGTCCTATCCACTTCCACCGCTTCTTCCTGATTTCCTCCTCCACTGGAATCTGATTTGTTCTCTCCCACAGTAGGTTGTTACTGATCCTGTCTGGCCAACGAATCTGAAGTATTTTGCGTGGACAACTGTTAATAAACCTGTTTTCTAACCACTGAATAAAAATTAAAACACAATGCCCCATATACAAATTATGTCAACAATACTAATGTTTTTTTTCTACATTTTCACTTCTTTTTTCTCACTCAAAAAACGCCATTGTTTTTATTCCTTCTTTTCTTTTTTTTTTTTAAATATAGAATCATTGTTAATGGTTGTTTACCAGTGTTCAGTGTAGATTTTACAGATACCGTTTTACAATCCTTGTATGAATTAATTGTCAATGTCCCATTTCCGGAAGCCAATAAAAATCTTACTACACCAGCAAATCCTGATGAATTATTAAAAGTAAATTTGACTGGTTTTCTCTTCTTTTTGTAGAAAAAGATCTCTTTTTGTCAATTTTTTAAAAAATATCGTCGTTTTCCTTCTTATATCTTGTATGTTTGTTTGCTTTGTCACTGATATTTTAATATGTTTACTGATATAGAGGATGTAGTACGCGATTATTATTATTATTAGTAGTAGTAGTAGCAGCAGTAGTAGTAATAGCGGTCGTAGCAGTAGTAGTAGTAGCAGTGTTCAGTAGTAGTAGTAGTAATAATGGTAGTAGTACTAACAGTAGTAGTGGTAGTGAGAGTAATAGTAGTGAGAGTAGTAGTGCTATTGAGATTGAGGGTAGTAGTAGTGGTAGTAGTAGTAATAGTAGTAGTAGTAGTAGCAGTAGTAGTGTCAGTAGTAGTAGTCTGCGTAGTAGTAGTAGTAATAATAGTAGTAGTACTAGCAGTAGGAGTGGTAGTGAGAGTAGTAGTAGAGTGAGTATTAGTAATAGGGTGCATAGTAGTAATGTGAGTAGTAGTACTAGTGAGACTAGTATCAGTAGTAGTCGTCTGAGTAGTAGTAATATTGGTCTTAGCAGTGTTAATAGTAGTAGTAGTAGTAGTACTATTACTTAAACATAATTTACAACCACACTTTAAGCATCATCACTTAGCTTAGTGGTATATTCTACTAAATAGTTTACAGTAATGAAATTTGTGTTTTCTATTGTTGTAAGTGTTATATTAATAATATATAGTTTGCAAATATGAGTTTATTTCGTATGACCTATCTGTAAATAGTTTTGTTTATGAAACTATGGATTTATTGAAACAGATAATTATTAGTACAAACAGGTGCCTAAATATTGAAATATTGAATTTGTGAGTTGGGTGGTATACTATCCGGTTACCGGAAACAAAGCAAGTGGTTTTCCTAGGACGCCACCCATCTAATCCACAAAGAAGTACTGGAGCAACGATAGGAAATGCGGTCCCATAGCAGCCAGTGATTAACACTAGGTTCATGCACCAATTATTCCATTAGGATCTTGGAGTACACATATGTACCGTTGTTATGAAATCGGTGTGTTACAACTCGTCTAGCTAGATATATCCTCTAAACCCACCATTTCGGTTTAGGCCTTCATCGGGCTTTCGCTTTTCGTCTTCTCAATTTTGTAAACAACACCCCGCCACGAGATCTGAGCTGTGCTAGTAGATGCAGACCACAACTCGCTCAATAATCGTTAAATAATGGCTACAGAGAGATGTTGAGTGACATAGTTGCTTCGTAAAATCAATACTCATGACATACTTATTATTCTGTTATTTTTTCCATGTGAAGATTCAATATAGTAAGCGATGCTGTTGTTAGGAAACGGGTGCTAGGTAAGAATGGCAGATCAATAGATGAAGTAATGAAACTTCATCAGTTGAGGTGGTTGGGACATGTGTTGCGTATGCCCAACCACCGACTGCCTCGTCGAGCTTTGTTTTGTAGTGTAGGAATAGTTTGGAAGAAAGTTAGGGGCGGCCAAACCAAAACATGGCACAAGTCCATGAAGTCATTGACGAGTGGACTGAGTCATGTCGGTAATTGTCGACTACCTGGTTGGGGTCCGCGAGATGATAATAATTGATGGTTAGATACCCTGAATGACGTGGCTCAAAACCGTTTGCAATGGCGCCGGTGCATTTATGCATTGTGTTCTCTCAAATCCTAATCTTCTGGATTCTTCAACCCCTCTAGTTTTGTCTTTCTAAACTTTTCTCACTGAATCATACTTCTTGAATAATATCTTCTAATCCTAACCTCTCCGATTACTCCTAATACCTTTACTACCTCTTCTACTATTGGATTTGAATTGACAATTATATCTCTGTGCTGATGTGGTATGGCAACATGAACTGATGTAAGTACGTACGAAGTTCTACGTTGCAACTGACTGACTGACTAATTTACTCCTTATAATTCTATTTTTGATCAAGAGTTGTTGCATAGAATTACTCATGTTTTATGCAGCAATTGAATTGTGTTTTGTTTTGATTATGATCCTCTCCACAATGATAATATTGTATTTTGTTGTTGTTGTTTTCTTTTCTTCATCATCACCACCCCCCCTCATTCACATCCGCCACCAATCTCTCACACAAACCATACCAGGATGTTGTAGTTCTACCTAATTCCATAAAACCTGGATCTGTATTAGCCACTAGAGATTTAATTAAAGTGACACGTCATTTAAATCGAAACGACAGTGATTCTACGCTAAGCAGTTGGATATCCGACATGACTGAAGATGATGATGATGAGAGTGAACAAGATCAAATTAGTCAGCATTCTAAATTGGAAGCTGATGTTGTTGATGAGAATGATGGTGATCACGATAGTCGATCGATGGATAAGGGTAAAACTAAAGTAAGTTGCAGTATTGATTAGTGTTGATGATTTCAGTTCTCTTATAATATTTTCTTTTGTTAAAATGTTAACTCTATGCATGCACGCATTCAGATGTTGAATGAAAATAGTTTTTTTCAATAAGTAATTTATTTGTTATGAAATTATGCGATTTTTCTTTAATTTTCTAGTCTTTGCATGCCGGCTCAGTGGTCCCGAGGTTAGGCATTCGTGCTCAAGACCGCAGATCCTGGGTTTGAATCCTGCGAGGTGTAAGAGTCGTACATGCGCACTGCTGATGAGTCCTATATTAGGACGAAACAGTGATCCAGTGCTTCTAGGTTCCTAATGATGGTCTAACAATGACTGGTTCATGGTTTCAAAGTAACTGAACAATCTCCACAACCTTATAACGGTTATCAAATGGAAAACTAGAGTGTAGAACAATTGATATTATGTAACTCTGCAATTATTTCCTCATATCTTGAAATCATTTTCAATTGTGTTAGGTGCATTCTCTCTTTGCAATTAGTTAGTTGATGGTGACAAATGTCATTATCTATTGTCAGGTCCTTCTTAGTGCTGATCGAGTATTGGTCGATCAAGCTGCAATAATATCCTTCCCTCAGATCTTATATTTCTAAACCCTCCATAATTTTTCTTCGATTAGTTCACTAAATTTATATTTTTTTCTGTTGAATTTTGTATCTTCAATGTCCAATCTTCACTGGTGCTACCAATCCTGCTACTATCTGCCGTGACAATTTCATCCAGCTGTGTTAATGGATTATGTCAACTTGAACGTATGAATTAGGTGCTACGCTGTGTTTTTAATTAGCTTTATTTTCAAGCCTACGTAATATCTTATCACATATAGGCAGGCACATAATCAATAAATATTCGAATATTTGAGTTTACCAGTAGCGTATCGGTTTCAATGCGGTAAAAAATATTGCATAAATCATGTACTTTTTTCACAGTAATGCAATATCACTGGTTCAGTTAGACTCTTGAATAAAAAGTTTTCTTGGCTCTAACTGTATCCAGCTGATGATTGTTATGCTCACTTACTGAAGTCCATTACCCCTCGTGGAGCTTAGGTCACCACCAGGCTCGCCTTTGCAGCTTTTACCGGGTACGCTTCATTCGTTAGGTGTCTACCTCCAACTCCCAGAGCGATGCGTTCTTTGGTCCACCTTTTATCCTTTTTCTTTGAGGATTCTAAATTGGGACTTGCCTTGTGACTCAGTTTGATAATCTTCGCAATGTGTGTCTTATCTACCCACATCCAGCGTTTTCTCGCAATTCCCTCTTGAGTTGGAAGTTGATTTGTTTTGTGAAACATTTGGTTGTTTCTAATGCTATCTGCACAACGGATACGAAGTATCGTGTGTAGGCAGCCGTTTAAACATACCTGTACCGTTTCGGCAATGTTTGTAGTAGTCCTCCATGTTTCAGCTCCGTACATTACGTCTGTCTTAATGTTTGTATTAAAAATTCCGACTTTCGTGTTGGCTGAAAGTTGTTTTAAGTTGTAGATATACTGAGCACATAAAATGTTATTCCTGGTCTTTTGAAACAGCGTTCCAAACCATATGTCGGAGATTTTAGTGGAAAAGATGTCGGCGGCAGGTAACAGTGGACAACTGTTTGACTGGTATTAGAAATCCGACTTTCAGCGAAACTCACGGCAAAAGGTGGGATTACCATTCTCACTTCAGGTGATTGGGTCGATAGGCAGAACACTAGGGAGTAGTTAAACTACCCTTCAGCCACACTTTAGTTCTTCGCGATCTCCAGTCTACCTGAATGGCAAGTAGATGAAAGTCTGGGGCAAAACTCGAGAAAACGAGGCTGGTTTCAGACCTGGAAGTGGATTTATAGACCGATTATTCACGTTTCTGCAGGTTCTAGAACACAGTCATGCTTTTCAATGTCCTACAATTGTTCTATTCATTCACCTTAAGGCTGAGTTCTACTCTGTTCACCGTGAGGTTCTGTGACTGTGTCATTGAACGGTGTACCAAAGAAGTACATTAACCTTGTACAGGCTCTCAACTTGAACACTACTTGTTCAGTCAAAGCTGATGATGAACTGTCATCGAAATTGATTACTTAGAATGGTATTCGTCAAGGATGTTCACTTTCTCGATTCATTTTTATCTTTTTCATCAACATGCTTGTAGAGATTGACTCTTTCATCGTCTGACTTTTTAGGAGTTGACTTCCTACAAGGGAATTTTCTCTTGTTAGATCAGAATAGGCCGATGACATAGTTCTGTTTTTGGTGAAGACTCTGATAAAATTACAGTCTTCCGACCACTTCGAGCAATAATAATTCAAGTATATTTGTAATACGATTCTTCTCTTCGTTATGCAAAATATTGCTTCAGGATTAACTTGCGCGGGCACTTGAACTAATTATATGAAGTGAAGCAATGAAGCGTGTTGTCCGCTTCACTTATCTGAGGCGTTTCATCACTACTGATGGCCAGATACAAAAGATTCGACTGGAGAAACTTTATTATTTCATTGCAAGCTTGATTGTTCTGCGTTTGATCAGTTTTCGTCGATGTATACTTTTACATAGAACGCTCATCCATTCTTATCACTGATTGTTTTAATTCAAATGGTCAAGCTAGCGGGCACATCTACTTCATTTTCATAGTATATCAGTAATCATGACTTGATTTTAACGCTTAGTTATTCATAAACTGTATATTACTATGCTAAACTGAATGAAACACATTGCAAAATTAGTGTACTATTCGAGACTATTTACTCCGTTTTAGTAATATTTTCATTAAAAAATAAGTGTGTGTGTTATTTTGTAAATTATTTGAATATTTGATATTTTTTATTTACATTTAAAATATGATTGTTACATGTACAACACACAGACATTTTTTATTATTCAATAACAATCAAAAATTCAAACTTGATACATTGTCTTTGTTTTACACATTATTAAAAACTTCTCCTTAGGCTATGATACGTCAACGTCGTGATCTCTCGAATTTACGTCGTAAACGAGCGAAATTAATCGATTTGAAATTAGATTTTGTTATACGCAAAGTAAGTACTTTCTACATACATACATTGCATACATACATATACATTGTATACATATGTAATCAGTTTACTAATTCCCCCCTTCCTTTTTATTACATTTGTGTGCAATTTATCATGTTGATTTATTGTCACAATCAATCAGTCAATCAATCAATCTATATGTGTTATGTTGTGTTGTGTGCACTCATTGCCTGTCTTAAAGAAAAAAACAAATGTCGTATTTTAAATCTTTTTGGTTTTTACACTTTTAATATACTTGATTTCAGTAAAAAAAATGATTTGATCATAATATGTCAAGAGATCATGATCAATCTTGATCAATCCTGTCAATATGAGTTCATTTTTTTAAAAAATTAGATGTCTATAAACTGACACAGATTAGTTTTTTTTCCGGAAAATGTGATTTTACGATTGGTAAGACAGAGAGAAAGGAAGAAAGAAAATATCCTGAACATTCTTGGATTGTTATTGAATACTTTCTGAATACAGTGTTTTTCCAGAGTTAGCCGTGCTTAACTGTGATCAAATGGTATGAATCTTAAGTGTTAGTGAGACATAGATTGGATGGATTATAAAGTATGATTGCATTGCTGCACGCTGATTGGCTCTTTTGCATCCAATCAGCGATAGTCGATACTGGGGGAACATTCTAGAATCTTCTTATGTAAGAAACGTCTTTTTCCTTTGGACCTTGTGTCTTCCATTTCTAACCTTGCTATTAGAATATAATCTCTCTTTCCTGTTCAACCGTCTCGAGTGAATTGGTGTGCGAGAATACTAAGCATTAAGGAATATCTGGGTTGTAATATGAAGAGAGAATTATAACACTGAAGCTTAAAGGTATTTCTATAACAACTTAATGGTTTGGCGGGTCGTTGTGAAATCTGTAGGTCATGAGTTCGAACTCTGGCTTAGTTATGCCTGATTACTGATAGGAATCTTAAGTTAGAACGAAACAGATGTTGTTCACGGACTCCTGGTTTACAACGACTGTCAAACTAAAGTCGGTTTCTAGTGTCAAATTACAAATTTAGTTATCTTCAACCCACCTCTTTTGTAAAAAAGAAGGTTCAAAGTGAAAGTATATTTGAAGAACAGGACAGCTGATCGCCAAATAGTTATTATTTTCTAGTATCATGACACCCCTAGCAAATCTTTAACATGAAAAAATAGACACAACATTATATGTTATAAAACAAGTGTTTATAATATTTGGGTTTCAATAGGTTACTTATCAGTAACCAAGGAGATTGTGATCTAATTATAAAATACTTACTTTTTATTCCCGTTTTTAACATTATTAAAATGTACATTTCTAATCACATAAATATATTTACATTACTTACATACTTATGCATGTCACCCCCAATGGAGCATAGGCTGCCGACCAGTATTCTTCGACCAATTCTGTCCTGGGCTTCTCGTTCTAGTTCTGTCTAATTTTTGTTCATTCTTCTCATATCTTTCTCTATTTCTCTGTGTAATGTGTTTCTTGGCCTTCCTTATTTCCTTTTACCTTGAAGGTTTCAAGTGAAAGCTTGTCTTGAGACGCATTTGGGTGCTTTCCTCAGTGTGTATTACATCTTCTATGTTATTATTAGTACTAAAAAAATGAACACAATGAAAATGAATACTCATTAGTCTCTTCTTATATCGTTTTTTTATACAACAGATTGAAATTCAAACATTTGAACGTCAGTTAGACTCACAAAATAAAAATATTGAAGATCGTTTAATTTTGTCTTTCACTATTCATGAAGTTGGTACTAGTTTGATTAAACGACGTTGGTCACAAGAAATTCAGGTATATTTTTATGATCAGTGTTTTTTTTTGTTCATTCTCTCTTGAATGCATATAAACTCTTTGTATTGAAAATATTGTCTGATCATCCATCTGTTACGGATAAGTGTTGGTTTTTGTGAGACCTGGCAGCGGGATCGCATAGCCCAAGGGTTAACTGCTTGAGACTGGTCACGTATGGCTCTTTTATGTGAAGTTTGTAAAATGTTAGCTCCGTTGTTCCGAATCCCTTACCGCTGAAGACGGAAACGCGTGAGTTAAGTAAGGTAAGGCGTGACATCTCTAGAGTCGACAGTATCCAACCCCTTTATACGTTTGTGAGAAGATAGCATCGCTGCAAATCCTGGTTATTCGAGGGTAACTACCTTACTTTTGTCAACTATCTAAATATCCACTAAGTATGCAGCAATTATACTTGATGTCATTCAGTCAGTCAATCAGTTGCAACGTAGAACTTCGTACGTATGTACATAAGTTCATGTTGCCATACCACATTAGCACAGAGACGCAAATGTCAAATCAAATCCCATTATGATTGAGATAGTAGAGGTATTAATGGTAATGAAGAAGAATATGGTTTGAAGATATTACTCAAGAAGTATAATTCAGTGAGGTAAGGTTAGAAAGACAAAGGTAGAGGTGCTGACGAATCCAGAAGATTAGGATTTGAGAGAGCTCAACGAATGGATGCACTTGCGTCATTGCAAACGATTTTGAGCCATGTCTTTCAAGGTCTCTAACGATTGGTGACTTTAGTCTCGCGGACCCCAACCAGGTAGTCTACATCTACCAACATGACTCGGTCCACTTGTCAGTGACTTTATGGATTTGCGCCATGTTTTGGTTTGGCCACCCCTAGCTTTCTTCCAACCTACTCCTACACCACAAAACATAGCTCGTCGAGTCAGTCGGTTATTAGGCATTCGTAACACATGTCCTGAATGTAAATGATGTGATTCAAACTTCATTTTTACATTATCTTAAATACTGGCAGGTAAAGATCTTCAAAGATTTCAATTCCTCAAATTAAAAAAAAAGTGAACTGAATACTTGTGTTACTGTTAATGCTGTTTATTTTTAATTTTTTTCTAAAAAAGACCTACTTATATATTCATATTTTTTTATATATTGTTCTCTCATAAATTTAATTTTTCCAGGCTCATGTTGGCAGTTTATTAGTTGCAATTCCACAATTTACGCTTCGTGAAACACATGAACCAATTTATTTAGCACGTACAAAACGTCATGAAGAATCAGGTCATCATTTGTTGGCGGTTCAATTAATTATTGCAGAGAAAAATGCTCCTGATTTTGATACATATTATCAAAATACACGTCATCGTTTACAATGTGATTTCAAAGTATTAGATGTAAGTAACCGCTCCCACATACACACACACTCTATATATATAGATGTCATGAAATTTTTGCTTTAATTACCTACGCCTGTTACCCCTAGTGGAGAATAGGCCGCCGACCAGTATTCTCCAACCTACTCTGTCCTGGGCCTCCCTTTCCAGTTCTGTCCAATTTTTGTTCATTCTTCTCATGTCTTTCTCCATTTCTCGGAGTAGTGAGTTCCTTGACCTTCCTCCTTTTCTTTGACTTTGAGGGTTCCATGTGAGGGCTTGTCTTGTGACGCATTTGGGTGCTTTCCTCATTGTGTATCCTATCCCCCTCCAGCACTTCTTTCCGATTTCCCCCTCCACTGGAATCTGTTTTGTTCTCTCTCACAGTAGGTTGTTACTGATGGTGTCTGGCCAACGGATCCGAAGTATTTTGCGTAGATAACTGTTAATAAATACTTGTATCTGGTGGATGATGGCTTTTGTAGTATTCAAAGATTCCGCCCCATACAGTAGAAGTGTCTTGACATTTGTGTTGAAAATTCTGATTTTGGTGTTGGTTGATAAGTGTTTTGAGCTCCAGATGTTGTTCAGTCGTAAAAAGGCAGCCCTTTCTCTGCGGATCCGCGCCTTCATATTTGCATCAGATCCACCTTGTTCATCAATGATGCTGCCCAGATATGTAAAGGTTTTACATCCTCCAAGTCCTTTCCATCAAGAGTGATTTGGTAGGCACATGTTGTGCTGTGTCGAGGAATCTTGCTTTTCCCTCTATGTATGTAATGAAATATAAATTGTGTTATACCATATGGCCATCGCATCCGAATATTATAGTTCATTCATGTTATTATTTATCGCATAAATTATTTTCTAGATAACGTACTGTATATGTTGTTGTCGCGTTGATTCAGTGGTTAAAGCGTCTAAATTTAAGACAGACCACCAAGTCACAAGTTCGATCCACACTTTACTTACGTCTATGTAAGCCATCAAGTAGTATCATTATTCTGTTAACACTCAAGGAATAACTTAAGTGCCCAGTAAATGAATCATTATCTGGCAACCTACTTGGTCCCGGGTCTGCCTTTCTAGTTCTGTCCAACTTTTTTTCATTCCCTTCATGTCTATCTCCATTTCTCGGCGTAATGTGTTCCTTTGCCTTCAATTTTTAAATATTCCTATTATTTAGCATATAAATATTATATCTTTTAGTCCTTAATTACTTGCCTTACTCATGCCTGTAACCCCAAATGGAACATAAGCCTCCTGGAGCCCATCTAGTGTTAATGGCGGTCCCAAGCCCGGATAAATGCGGAAGGTTGGACATGGGGTTAGCGTAGAAATATAAATATTAATGGGTAACATTGCTGGAAATTTAATTCAATACTTTTATTTATATATATTTTATCATTCATTTTCTCTTTAGATCTATATTCATCAAGAAGCCACTTTATTATTAATGAATTATTTCAATAATTTACGTATATTATTATCAAAACAATCTGAAGAAATTCAGCTATCATCAGCAACTGAATGGGCTGCATCTATTGGAGATACTGAAGGTTTAATACAAGCACAACAACGTGAAGCATTAGAAAATGAAATGAGACAACAATTACCTGGACGTTTAACTGCTGTCGATGCTGTGGAAAGTCATATTGCACGTAAAACTGAACGTCGAGTGATTCGATTGAAGGCTGCTTCTTTAGCACAGAAAACAGGTAGGTTTTTTTCCAAATGAAACGAAATGAAATTAATCAAGTTTTTATTCATTTCATCGTGTGTTTTTTATTTGATAAAGATTTTAGAATAGAGTTATATTTCTGTTAGTATTATTATGAACGATAATACTATTAGACACTACTTTTATTTCTACTTGTTAGGCATGTACGTAAGCACGTCATGTGATATGCTTGAACTATTACAAGTCTACCTTAGTCGGAAAACGAGAGTGAGTATCGAGGATCCGGCGACACTACAGGCTACCCTAATCCGATTATCCCAAACCCCCAAATTGAGTAAAAATAAGAAGACTTGAATGTGGAGTAGAACCTGTATTATACAAGCATCCAGAAAGTACGAGGTCCGAGTCCAGAAGAGAATCGCGGTCCGGGTGATAAAACGATACAGATAATGCGTATTTATACAGTTAGGTCGAATAGGAAACAACATTGAAGTCTGTCAATTTGATAGTTAGGACGACCAATAGGAATTGACGCAGGTGCATCGACTTTCTGTGTTCTCTTAAATCCTAATCTTCTGGATTCGTCAACACCTCTACCTTTTTCTTTCTAAAGATATCTCACTGAATCAGACTTCTTGAATCATAATATCATGAACCCTAATCTTCTCCATTACTGCTAATACTTTTACAATCGCTACCACTATTGAATTTGTACTGATAGTTGTGTGTCTGTGCTAATGTGGTAAGGCAACCTGAACTGATGGACTTACGTACGAAGTTCTGTGTTGTATCTGTCTCTCTGCCTGTCTATTGCGTTGCATAGATTGATGTTTTTATAATATGCATACTTAGTATTTATGTTTTCTAAATACAGTGTTGCTTTGTTCTCGATTAAGTAAATCGATAGATCACTCAAAAACTTATTCAATTTAAAGAAATAACACATTCACCATTTATTTGGTTTCACAGGATATGTATTCCGTTTGCTGACTAAAGGACGAGTGTACTGCGCAGCAGTTCGCTCCGTCCTACTATACGGATGCGAGACTTGGCCGTTAAGAGTAGAGGACTTCCGTAGGTTACTAGTCTTCGATCATAAGTGTCTTCGAAGCATTGCTCGTATATCGTGGGACACCCGAGTGAGCAACGCTGTTATTAGGAATCGGGTGCTAGGTAAGAATGGCAGATCAATAGATGAAGTAGTGAAACTTCATCAGTTGAGGTGGTTGGTACATGTGTTACGAATGCCCAACCACCGACTGCCTCAACGAGCTATGTTTTGTGGTGTATGAGTAGGTTGGAAGAAAGCTAGGGGTGGCCAAACCAAAACATGGTAGAAATCCATGAAGTCACTGACAAGTGGACTGAGTCATGTTGGTAGATGTAGGCTATCTGGTTGGGGTCCGCGAGATGATAATAATTCTGACCTCTTCGATTACTTCTAATTCTTTTACTACCTCTTCTACTATTGTATTTGAATTGACAATTACATCTGTGTGCTGATGTGATATGGCAACATGAACTGATGTACTTACGTACGAAGTTCTCCGTTGCATCTGACTGACTGACTGACAGGATATGTATAGAACAAACCCAACCATATTTTGCAACGCAAAGAATATTTAAAAGTCAATGTGTGTGTGAATGTGTGTGCACATAGTCTTCATCAATCATCTATTTTACAATTCAAACAGGTTATTGACTGTCTTCTCTGAAATCTCTTCCGTTATTCAAAAATACTCTGATCACGCCATACATTTTAATCTCGTGACACTTTTTTTCTGTCTGGCTGCAACTTTTTACATGATGCTCCACTGAATACTACTTATAAGCTAATTTGTGAGTAGCATCTATCATACATACTGGGACCTTAGATCAGTTTAAACTTCAGTTATCATTCAAAGTTTCAATTATTATTTATTATTTGATGAATTTATTTATTTTTTGATTTCTTAAAGGCAAAATTGCAATGATTCGTGAATTAAACATCACACAATGGATGGTGAATGCAACACTTGATAAAGTCAATGTTAAATTAGGCTCCATGGAAAATGATTTATTTTCAACTACTGTTAATGGTCTACGAATTGATGTTCGTACCACTTATAATACTGTTGAAGTTTCAGCAATACTTTCTGAATTCATTGTAATTGATCATATTCTAAACACGTCTTATCGAAAGGTTAGTAAGAGATGTATTTGAATTTGATTTTGTATGAGCATATCGATTTTTTTGTGATTACTATTGTTATGTTGTGTGGTGTTTGAGATTTAAACGTGATACGCCATAACTCTTCAAACCGTCTACTTGAGCCATAGAACAAGAGTGGAATTGAAAGTCTACTTGTCTACCGAATAATAGACAAAAATACTCATTCACACATCTATGTGTACTGATCTCCTAACCGATGATATACAGTCATTATTCAGGGCATTTCTGAAGGTCACCAAATGACCTTGTTTGGTCACTTCTGATTGGTTCTCTGTGTTAACTATTCATCATAGTTCAGTTATTTTCTTATAATTGAGGTAATAGTGTAGTGAATGAGAACACAGGTGGGGCAACCGGATTGTATTTAACGAAATTTACAGAGTTACTCAGTAAAATAGGAAAACCATATCGTAAACCGTTAATTTGCAAAATATCAGTTCATCATATCGAACTGGACTGTTCCTGTTGCAAAACATCAATCCAATGTCACTGTTCATGCATTTCATACAAATTCCATTGTGTTCCCACTCTTCCTTTCTTGATCTTCCCCCATCTTCTGCTGCCAGACATTACGTTGACACTCACGTCATATACTACTACCACATTAGGATAGATACTTGATTGAGAAGTTAATTTTTGTATTTTGAAATAGACACGATTGAATTTTTACACTAGAAATAGATACAAAAGAGTTTATGTCACAATATACGGTATTTCAACTCGTTTTAAAATTTTCACAACGTTTTTTTAAAATGTTGTTTAGAAAATAAAAAGAATACTATTTTTTTTATATTAAAGTCTTCTTTAGCAATCGGTTTTATAAACAGTTGCGACGTATATGCCTCGAATTTGTGGTTAATTAATTTACAGAATTTAATATTTAAGATTTGTAAATGATTCATTAAATCCCCGCTTGCCACTGATCTTCTTATATACAATGGATTTAATTTTTGAAAATGCAAATTCAAATGGATTAAGCATATAACTAAGTATAAGGGGGACAAAAACATAACCTTTACTCCCTTTTCATTAAAAAAATTTTTTGGTGATATTGGAGACATGGATCTTCGCATTATTATCAAGGAGAAAAATGCAATTCTTAAAAATTGATTTTTGATTGCATTTTCCAATCAATTGATTAAAAAAAAGTGATTGAACTTATCGGAGTAAAAAGAACTTCATTTTCTGTTCTTGCAGATATCAAACTTACATTAGTTCAGCGTGTTCACAGAACCATGGCAGTTGCTGATTTTCCTCTTGTATATAGATCTTTCCAAAGTTCTCAAATACAAATTAAAGGATGACTCATCGATAAAAACACCTTACTGCTGTCACACTCCTCTGCAGTCAGCAGTACGACTTCGCCCTCAGACCTTGGGTAGCTGGTTTTAGTTTCATCGTTCTCCAATCGACCTGCCTGACATGGTAGAACCTTCAGGAACATACGTTCCAGCCAGTGTAGCTCGGTTGGGTCATGACGATAGGCAAGCCCGACCACCACGTCAAGGTAGCATCTACGGTCGGAACGAAGGAGTCTTCGATATTTATAAAATCTTGCGCATATATCTGTCTTTTAATTTTACTTGTGTCTGAGTTGATATTAATCCATGTATAAGGAAGGACATTTTAAGGATTATAAAATTTTTTTAGGAAACTCTGTGAAAATTTTAAAAAACAAGTTGAAATACTACTATATTTGATGAAAAGAATGTCTTGAAACTAAAAGCTGTACTAAAGGTTTTTTCTTTCATGCAAAAACTGTTTGCACGTATATTTATATCATTCTTGACAAATTAATTAATTGTTTGGTTTTTGTTAATTTGATTTCAACTGATAGTTTATTCGCTATTTTATATTTACAATACTATGGAAATGTTTTTGAATAAGTCAGTCAGTTGCAACGTAGAACTTCGTACGTAAGTACATCAGTTCATGTTGCCATACTACATCGGCACAGAGATGTAATTGTCAATTCAAATCCAATAGTAGAAGAGGTAGTGAAGGTATTAGAAGTAATCGGAGAGGTTAGCATTAGAAGATATTATTCAAGAAGTATGATTCAGTGAGAAAAGTTTAGAAAGTCAAAACTAGAGGTGTTGAAGAATCCAGAAGATTAGGATTTGAGAGAACACAAAGAATAAATGCACCGGCGCCATTGCGAACGATTTTGAGCCATGTCATTCAAGATCTCTAACCATCGATTATTATCTCGCGGACCCCAACCACATAGCCTACATCTACCAACATGACTCAGTTCACTCGTCAGTGACTTCATGGATTGCAGTCATGTTTTGGTTTGGCCACCCCTAGCTTTCTTCCAACCTACTCCTACACTACAAAACAGAGCTCTTCGAGGCAGTCGGTAGTTAGGCATACGCAACACATGTCCGTTTTTGAATAAGGTGTTCTACAATTTCTAGTCAATGAATGAATGCTTGTTTGTTTAAATTCATTCGTTCTGATTGTGTTTTTTCTTAATCTCCTCAATTTCCCAATACCGGACTTTAGAAAAATCTCTTCAATCTAAGCGTCAACTGGAACTTTCAGCTATATATTGATTAGTGTTGAGATGATTAGCTGGTGCTTAGAAGTAGTTGACAAGTAACCCCTTGATTTATAGCATTAGCGTTCTAGCTCCCACGGTAGCGTTTAAATGGTTTGAATTATTTTTTCTGGTTAGCGCTTTTGTTTAGTTTTCTACTGGATGGAGTCGCTAATCCAATGCCCAACCGTCCTTTTTTATCCGAACTTGGGGATTGGCAGTAGCCCCAGAACGGATCTAGGCGAAGTTGCTTACATATATAGGTTTTATGCAATTTGTCACTTGTCAATGTGGTGTACTTATCATCTTGACGCAATTGGTGATTCGATCCATTCAGTTTCACAATCAATTATCTTAGCATTGATTTATTCAGATCGCAGGTAATCTTTTGTGTTTGAAGATTAATTTTGCTTCTACAATTTTATTTACGAGTCTATTTTCTTTTTCTGAATTTAGATTTTATGGGTTGATCCAAATGAAAATGTGGTTTCTTTACAAATTACACATTTTCAAGATGCTACACAATCTGTGGAAACTGCTATGGATCCAGACAAAGTTGACTTGGCTATTAGTCTTCAAATAGGAAAATTAAATTGTATTTTCTTATATCATTTTATTAAACGTGTATTAGTAAGTTTTTGCACTTTGCTGATAGATATTATGTGTGTTTTATGAATAGAAAAATGTGTAATTGCAATCATTGAATTATGTAGTACAGTTAATCTAGTCAAATAATCTCAAATACTTACACTTTGATGTATTCACATTTAGCTATTGATCAGATGATACTTAAAATTGATTTATACTTAGGCTTTGGTGTTTAGAGGCTTTTTTGATCAGTTGGGATTGTGACCAGTTTGGTTTCGTTTGTTGTTACGCCTATGAGAGCGGATGTCACTTCCCTGCTGCTCACATAGTGGAAAGGTATTTATTTAGCAACCTAAAAAGGAAATTGGTTTAGCGTTGGTCTGATAGACGTGGCAGGGTGACCGCAGAGCCAAAGGGACAGTTGCTTGGGGCATATCACACACGTCATTTTTATGGGATATTTTCAACGCGTTAGCTCAGTCTTACCACCGTAGACGGAATTGTGTGGGATAAGGTGAGCTGTTTCATTTTTGGAGTCGACCTTTTCTAACCCTTCCTTCCTTGTGAAAAGGCAGCATCGCTGCAGATGTTGGTTTTCCGAGGAATAAACTGTCACATCCCTCTACAGTCTTCAGTACGACTTCGTCCTCTGGCCTTGGATTGCTGCTTTTAGTGTCGCCATTCTCCAATCGACCTGCCCGATATGGTAGTAAGATAAAGTAGTGAACCTTTGTCAGTTGAAGTAATTGGAACCTGTACTGTACGTTTGCCCAACCACCGATTGCCAAGACGAGCGATGTTTGGTCATCTAGAGGTATGCCGGAAGGAAGCTAGCGACAGCCAAACCTTGACGCGGGACAAATGTTGGTAGATGTAGACTGCCTTGTTGGAGTCCGTGAGACAATGGTCACAGATGGTTAGAGACCTTGAATATGATGGATAGAAATCGTTTTCAATGATGCTGGTGCATCTATTCTTTGGCTTCTCTCACGATCTCATGAGTTCAGGACCTTTTCTTATTACTTTTCAAATTTATTTCACTCGAATTTACTTCTCGAATCATATCTTCGATCCCTAATCTTATTGATCACCACTAATATTTCCACTACCTCAACTACTATGGGATATGTATTGAGAATTCAATCTCTCTGTGTTAATTTTGTATGGCATCTTCAAGTGTAGTACGTACTTACGTACGAAGTTCTCCAATGTAACTCACTGACTGGCTGATCGGTTGTGTGAATTGTGTTCGATGCACAATAGTATCGTTATCTGTAATCTTTTTGCTTTTGTTTACCACTAGTAATATTAGCTTTTGTTTCTGTTTATCTTACTAAATAGATCGTTCGTTGTGTCTCTCTATTCCTCATAATCTCTATCTTTCTCCTTCTAAATTTATCTCACTGAATTATACTTTTCGAATCATATCTTTGCTCCCTAATCCTCTCCATTGCTGCTAATAATTCTACTATCGCTATCACTGTTGGATTTGAACTGACAGTTACGTCTCTGTTCTGACGTGGTATGGCAACCTGAACTGATGTACTACTTATGTATGAAGTTCTGCGTTGTATCTGAAGTCATGTCATCACGAACAGTACAATTGTTTTGACAAGTTATTCACAGTCCAATTGATTTTGTAAATGAATGTTAACATATTGTGTTTTTTTGAAGAGATCATTTTTTTTCAACGAGCTAGAGATGTTCATATCTATTTTTGTTACTTACTATATACAATGTTGAATTCTGTATAAACTATCACAAAACGATTGTTTGGGATTGTTGAATCCTAAATAATTTTTTGGCTGATGTTGGTTGATCAGTCAGTTATAAGCAACTTTAAACATGGTACATTTGATAATACTAAAACCTCAAGATATAAGGATTAAGGCAATTAATCAATGCATTTGGATCATCGTGATTGATTCTAAGCCGATGTGACCCGAAGTTTGCAATCGTTAGTCACGACAATCGCACATACAGCAACCTGATTTTCTGTGTCTACTGACATGGCTTATTAGTTCAACAATTAGTGATTTAATGTCCCGATGTTACATATATTAGTTTGGGCGCCATTAAATTTCTTTCAACCTGCCGGTTAGCCTGTTGGTGGTTGAGTATGCATAGTACTTACTCGGACTGCCTTGGTCGATTTCAATATGCAATAATAATAATAATAATAATAATAATAAAATTCATTTGCACCACACAGTTTAATGCACTTATAGAGCTGCACTAATTTTTGTAAAAACTAGTGATTATATCGGGTTATATTTAAACTCGATATAAATCTAGCACAGTTCAAAAATGTAATTGTTAAAGTTTGCATATTTACGTAAACATGTAAATTATGTAAGCATACATGTGATCATTCAAATTATATGTAATTATCCTGTCAATATGCTGTTATACTTTAATTTATTTACTTTAACTAATTGCTTAAATCCTGTTGTTTTTTTCAAACATTCATTAATGTTTCAAAAAGCATGTTTTCGTATTTAACATACACCATTATGTTATTTGTATTCAGTGACAACAACAACAGTTTCATAGTTTCACAAATCAACTTTTCCTATTTTTATTATTATTATTATTATTATTATTATGATATTTATAACTCGTTACCAGTTATTTTTTTCATCCATTATTCATACAACTCCCAAATTATGGTTTCAAATAGATAATCTTTCCTACTTCATACATATTGTGCACACCTGTGTGTAGTTGGTTTATATAGTACAGAAAATAAGCGTGAACATATTTCTTGATCTTTGTCATTGTGACAGTATTATAATCAATACAATGAAACTGATTTGAAGACATTATTTTCAGCAGATAATGTGTTATGTGAAAATTTTTTTTCCTCTCGAGTACCAATCTTGGTCATATGAGGTAGTGAAAGTCACCTGGATGGATTCGGTAAAATAACTGTAGTCTGTGGCTCGTTATGTCATCTAGGATTTATTGGGAGAGTGTAACTGCATTTAGGTGTTGAGATCCAGTTCTATCGAATCGCTGTTCATTCTTCTCATCTCTGTCTCCATTTCTTGGTGTAATGTGTTCCTTGGCCTCACTCTTTTCCTTTGTTCTTGAGTATTCCAAGTAAGGGCTTGTCTTGTGACGCATTTGGGTGCTTTCCTCAATGTGTTCTATCCACTTCCACCGCTTCTTCCTAATTCCTTCCTCTGCTGTCCACTGAATACCGTGCTTCCTTCCGAACGTTGACGTCTTCATAAGAAAGTCAATCACCAAGGATTTGAGAATGGGTGAGAGTAAGCAACCTTGTCTGACACCGGTCTTCACCTCGAACTTGTCTGCTAGCTGTCCTCCGTGCACGATTTTGTTGTTTACTCCGTCATATGAATTCCGTATGATGTTGACTAGTTTCTCAGGCACTCTGTAGTGTCAAAGAAGCCTGCAAAGTGTTGTTCTGTCGACTATCAAATACCTTCTCATAGTCAATGAGGTTGATTTAGATTGGTGAATGTAGGGTTCGTCACTAGGTACGCTTGAAGCTATTACGAGTTCACCTTAGTCGATAAACGCGAACGAGACTTTTACCAGCTTCCAGGGAGGCTACCTTAAATACCCAAAATCGGAATAGAAGGCTTTGTAAGCGTAGAATGTATATTCTACAAACACCCAGCAATCACACAGTACAATCAAGCATACAACTCTCGTATATTTATACATCATAGAAACGTCCTTGAGACAGTTAAGAAAATAGCACACTAAAATACACAGCAGCCAATCACAGCCATGGATTTTCCTGGTGGGAAATGTGTGATCTCAATGTCAACTGATCAGCCCATGCTGGCAAACGTGAAATCCAAAATAAGGCATTTATCAAGCGAGTTTTGGGGATCTAACATCCTCAACAGTGAATTCCATTCAATTGTTTATTCGACAATGATCCATAATGTTGCTACACCATCGATCCTTACGAAATCCAACCTGTTGATTTTAAAGTTGGGCGTCTACGAAATCCTTCATTCTGTTCTCTTGATTACAATACTAGTTACAAATCCATATATTTTGTATTATCATGATTATTATTTCACTTTTCATACTTTTTATTCTTGATTTAAATTCAAATCACTTTACTGATGTTAAAAATATAAAGCAACTTGATTTAATTTACATTTCTTCTCAAAACTCTTTTACATTTTACTTTTCACTGATTAAAGTTTGCAAATGTATTATGATGCATCAATTGTCCGCTTATTTATTTCGTTATGTATCCTAATTTTCTGTGTTTCTTTTCGCCTAGAATTTTATGCAAGTCTATCAAGTTGCAATGGAAATGATGTTGAATAAAGTTCAAGCTTTATCGGATGCAGCAGTTCAACAAGTTAGTTTTGTTCACATATATATATTTTTAAAAAAAGATTCATATTCTTCTCAGTGAGCTTTTCATCAGGTGTTACTCTCATCTACCTTAATATTTTTTATGCAACTGATAAAACCGAATCAAAGAGCAATCATCAATGAGTCATTGATCATTAATTGTAGAATACAAAGTACAAATTGATAGTTGTTATGATAAGATGAATTAATAAAGGTTTATTAAATCAATATTTCATACAGCTCAAATAATAAATACTCAGTAGAACTATATAGATCGCATAATAAGAAATGTTCAGATATTTCGATAGTAAGGCTTTTTATATTTGAAGAAAACACAGTGTTGGGGGGGAGGGGGGAGTGAATAACACTAATCGAATAACACATATAAGCGAACAATATTGTTTTCGATTAGATCGTCATCAGGCTTTACTCTAATATACATGAATATTTATATGAAAATGTTAAACCAATCAAGGCAATTTGAGTGATAATCACAATGAAATGAAAAAGATTACGTAACTACATCTAATAGGCAAAAGTTCAAGTGGATAATAGGAAAACAGGTGTACTGATAGTAGTAAGAAAATTTGTAAAATATGATAACTAAAGTAGGTCAAGGGTGGGTGAATAGAATTCAAATAATCATCAAAAACGTCAAAAACATTACGTAATAAGCAAATGTGTAAAAATAAAATAAAATAATAAATCAAAAATAATAAAAATAAAAATATGTCAATCATTAGTTACGTGATATCCGGCCACGGAAGAGATAGGGGTGTCACGAATTTCTTCTGAACACATAAATTAGGGTTGAATGTACGTATTCCTATGGCTTCTGCAATGTGTAGGAGACGGGATCGAACTCCGTTGGGAAATGATGGAGGTATACGATAGATCACCCGAAAAGATCTAGATTTATCTACAATGTGACCACTATCTACCAGGTGTGCTAAGATAGAACTGCGTATTGTTTTTGACTGACCCTTCGTAAACCATGCTGGGAGATGTTCACTCATTCGTTGGTTAAGTTGCCTGGAAGTACGCCCGATATAGCTATCTCCACAGGAGCAGCTGAATTTGTAAATGCACATAGAGGAGGCCAGCTCAGGTAACTTATCTTTCGTTTGAGTAGACATCGCAGGTCGACTGGAGAAAGTCAATGCAAGTTTTGCAGCGTTGAATGTTCTGTTGATTACTCTTCTTAATCTATCCTGCAGAGTATCGCAGGATGATTATTTGAATTCTATTCACCCACCCTTGACCTACTTTAGTTATCATATTTTACAAATTTTCTTACTACTATCAGTACACCTGTTTTCCTATTATCCACTTGAACTTTTGCCTATTAGATGTAGTTACGTAATCTTTTTCATTTCATTGTGATTATCACTCAAATTGCCTTGATTGGTTTAACATTTTCATATAAATATTCATGTATATTAGAGTAAAGCCTGATGACGATCTAATCGAAAACAATATTGTTCGCTTATATGTGTTGTTCTAATTTTCACAATGGGAATCTTTAAAATTACTAATCGAATAGACAAGTAGTAGTATGAGAAAGAATGATAGTCACTTATTTACTTACACTTGTTATTACCTAATGAAGCATAAGCCGCAGGTCAACATTCGTCAACCTACTCTTTCCTGGGACTTCTTTTCTAATTCAAACCAACTGCAGTTCATTCTTTTCATGTTTGCTTCCAATTCTCCTTTGGCCTTGAGGGATTCCAAGTAAGGGCTTTTCTTGTAATGCAGATGGGTACTTTTGGTAATGTCTTTCCTATTCACCTCCATAACCTCTTCTTGATTTCTCCCTCGTGTTGAAATCTGGTTTGTTCTCTATCACAGTAGGTTATTGCCGATGATGTTTGACCAGTGGATCCCCAGTATCTTACATAGACGAGTAAATAATCAAAATCGTCTTATAAGGCCAATCCAGTCAAGGAAGGGATAGATTTGTCACAGATTTTAGAATCCTTAAAGCTTCTGCTGTGTGTACGAGACGAGATCGAATGCCATAGGGAAAACTTGTAGTTATAAACGATAAATTACTTTATTCCACTGTTATCACCATTAACTCATAATTTGCCTTGATTGATTTTATAATTCCATATAAATATTCAGATATATTAGAGTAAAAAGGCTGATGAGGAAGATCTAAGTGAAAACAACAATATTGTTCACCTAGATGCCTTATCCAAGTTAATTTTTACTCAGTTTATTATCTCTTTTTAATAAAATAACACAACTGGTTTACACTTTTAATATCACATAAATTTAAGATACTACATGCTATAAAAAAAATTATCACTCTCTTATTATGCATACATTCACCTCTAGAACTAGTTTTGATTAACCAAAGACTTCTAATGATATTCTCTTCCTATTGATCAAAGAGAATTAGCTAGCTTTGGAGAGGGTGGCTGTTAATCTTGTAAATTCTAGTGGTTGAATATGGAAAGCTAACAGAAGGGTGGTCGATGCATTCAATTTCTGATATGCTCGTCAATTGATTTGCTTGAAGCTATGACGAGTTCACCGTAGTCGGTAAACGAGAGCGAAGACGATGCGATAACACGATAGGTTATTCTAATCCGTTGTCCACGAGCCAGCTAACTATATCAAGAAGTCTTGATAAGGCATTGAAAAGTGTATTCTAAAAGCACCCAGACAATATGAGGTTCACAAACACACAAATCGAGCATGACAGTAACGTCCTTGAGAGAGCCACAAAAATAGCGTACTAAAATAATCCATCAACCAATCTCCAGTCAAGGTTTTTCCGGGCTGGAAATGTAATCTCAAGGTCAACTAAGCAGCTTATGCGCGATAACGTAAAACATCCAAAATTAGGACCTTTTCCCAGTGAGTTCTGCAGATCTAACGTCCCCAACACTTCTCCCCTTTTTAATAGCGTACGTTCCTGGAGTCGACTTTCATCTTGACTTTTGTTCGCCGCTGTTGGAGAGGATACCTCCTGGAACGCAGATCAGCTTGTTGTTGATTTTTTTCTCGGGGTGGGATTGCCAGTAAGTTGAAGGTATCAAGTAGGATATCAAGGGGAAGATTTACTCCTGTAGATGGACTATCTGGGGCTAGTCGTTTGCGTATCTGGTTACGATGGCGTGACTATCTTTCGATTCCTACCTCTACTTCGTACATAAGTCCAACTCTTCTAAACACTCGTGCTTCTTTCCAAGGACCGTGGTTTGTTCTGTAGTCACGGGCAAACACAGGAAATCCCACTTCGTAAGTGGATTGCCCTTACGACTTTGTACTGGAGTCGGTGCATTACTCGGATACATCAGTCTGTGGATCTTTTCCAGTCTTAATTCCATCAGGATTTCGGCTGGAAACGTTTGCTCCGGTAACGTCTCATTGGTGTTTTTCGATTAACGTACAAGAAATTTTGTAACGCGTCGGCTCCACTTAACCAATGCTGTTTTAAACGTATCCATAAACCTTTCCGATCGCCCATTCGACTGCGGTTGGTGTGGTGGCAAACGTAAGTGTTTGATGACTAGCCATCGACGGAAACCTTTGAATTCGTTAGAGGTGAATTGCGACAAACGAAACTAGGGGTTGATAGAGTAAGGTTTCGAATGCATTACACGTAGTTATATGTTTCGGGTGTTAGTTTATATGTTACGTGTTCATAGTTTGTAAATACTAGTTTGAAATCTTATGAGATGATTTTTCTGTAAGAAAAAAGTAACAAACTCATCAAGTTTTTGTAATTTTATCCGCATTTTTTATATGCAACCTCATGATACTGCTACCACTTAGTTGATTGAATTGCATTAGCAAAGGTTAGGGTAGATTGCTTCAAGCTCTAAATTACTGTATCACACACAAAACATATGCCAACTTTGAGACATTAAACTTCCACATGCAAAAATAAGCTAATCAGAATTGTAAATTCCTTAACCCAATTTTTTTACCAGTATGGAAATGTGGAGATTTTAGGATTTTGCTGAAATTACGATTCTTTTGGATTTATACATTCATTAAAAACCCAGAGACATTAAACCGTTGTTTCATCCCAGTATGTAATTCCTCAGCAGTGTATGTATCTACAACCTTTTACGCGGGAATGAACCTAGGACTTTCGGTCTTGTGTGCGAAAGCTTAGCCACAGGACCATGAAACCCCAGTATCCAACGGTTTTGATGTCGAACGCTGATCAATTCACAACATTAAAATTTCATTTCTTTTTTTAAAAATGTATTTCAAATATATTTAACTTAAAATCGACAACAATAGTCAATTAATTCTAGGGCCATTAGTACAATGCAAATCACCATGATATGTTGAAGAAAACCGTTCAATGTCACATTGATAAATATTATACAGATGCTGATGTAACATGTGTAACCAGCAGTCGCTGAAGGGCGGATAGGATCTAAAATCACAACACACAAGGTTAGTTTAACTCCCTCACACCAAGAAAGAACATGAAGTGGTAGACACGGCACTTTTTTATTTGAAAATTAAAATACGCGGGGTTTGTACAGAAAAGAAGTGGCTAGTTTACCAAAGTCTTACGAGTCATCCTTGTAAGTTCAGAGCACTCAAGGCTTGTTTCTTCAGCTTCCAAAGCGTGTTTATGTTTGATCGCCATGAAATAGAAAGAAAACAGAGAACGGCTTAGCAATATCATACATGGTGATTTTGACTCTGTTACACTGATTTCTAATATATTCATTTCGTATAAAGTTTTATTTTGTGCTTGCTATCTTCATTGTTAATTTTTTAAAGGTTCAAGAAGCTGTAGACAAATCTTCACAAACTCGTCTTAGTTTAAATATTATTGCACAAGCACCAGTAATTTATATGCCACAACATTCATTGTCAACTATTTCTTTAATGATTGATTTTGGGCGTATTACATTATCAAATCATTTCGAGTTTATTAATTCGTCAAAATTATTGCCTAATATAAAAATTCCTATACCTGAACCTGGAATTATGCTTGAGCATACAGTGGTGAAATTGGAAAATTTACGTTTATCAAGGTAAGTGGTATATGTATGTGAGTCTGTGTGTGTGTGTGTGTAAATGAACTAACGAATTCTAAAATTTGTATCGAAATTTGCTAGAATGAATTCCTTTTAGCTTTATTTTTAATGATCTAGTTGGACTTAAGCATTCACTGTGATGGTTGAGGTATATGGTATGTATGTTCAATCATTCATTGCCTACCTAACATGTGGTGTAAGAGTGGGTTGTGAATGAAATCTAGAGCTGGTTAAACTCAAATGCAGCGTTGGTCAATGAGGCTATTGATAGTTGAACTAAATCATGTAGGTAGGTGTAGACTACCATCTGGTTGGAGTCCTCGCGATTAACACAACCTTCGAGTGAAATGGTTTGGCATCATTCGTAGGAGTACTGTTGCGTCCACTCACTCACTGTTTACCTTCCTTTGTAATTGGCTTCTCGAAATCTTGTACTATCTTTCTTTTTCTATTGTTAGTCTTTTCTGCTATAAATAATACTGTTACTAATCCTACACTGGCATTTGTCTTTTATTTCGCTTTGCTAATGTGATATCCCGAATTGCACTAACGCGTACATGTGTCAGATACTACTACATTGTATGTGACTGACAGTATCCTCGCTTTAGTATCTGCAAGCTTTATGATAACCTAATTATTAGAAGTATTCAGTCTGGATCTGTATATTCGTCAAGAAACAACCTTCCACGGTGTGGGCAGCCGGGAAGTGATAACCGCCCTCATACCCGCAACAGCACACGAGACAAAATTGTTCAAAATCAAATCCTTCCTACATTCCCTAATACCTCTCTTATCTCCACAACTAACTCTTCTCACATTCATTTATTACAGTGCACAGCTAATGCAAACGATGCGAGTTTGCGAAACGTCGTTCCTGGTCTCCTTAAACCCCGTTCCAAACTACATGTTGGAGCATTCAATGTACGGACATTGTGTCAAATAGGGCAACAGGCGTCATTAGCTAGGACTTTAGAATCTCGTTCCATCGATGTGTGCTGCGTCTCGGAAACGCGCATACAGGATCCGAGTAGCATCACTCATTTGACCTCACCATGTCAAGATAAAGAAGCAGCTCGATTTACCCTTCGTGTATCCGGTAGCCCTGATGCTGCTTCTAGGGGCCTCGCCGGCGTAGGTATAGCATTGAGTCGTAGGGCAGAACAATCTCTCCTTGACTGGATCCCTGTAGATAGTCGATTGTGCGCCGTCCGACTGAACGGGACAGTAAGGACTCGGAAAGATAGGGACACTCGCCGTTGCCTCTTCGTCATATCAGCCTACGCCCCCACTGACTGCAGCCCAGATGATGTAAAAGATGAGTTTTGCAGAAAGCTTTCGGACCTCCTCCAAAAAATTTAAGCGCTCTGATATAGTTATAATGGCTGGTGACTTCAATGCACAAGTAGGTAGACAAAGTGAAAATGAAAGACACCTAGGTGGATGTTACGGTCTCGCGGCTCAAAGAACAGACAATGGCGACCGTCTGTTGCAACTATGCTCAGATAACCAACTATTTCTAGCAAACACTAATTTTAAGCATAAGGAAAAACACCTTTTGACCTGGCGACACCC